GGCCAGAGGTCAATCTGCAGGAATCAATGCCCTCCCTTCCACCATGTAGGCTCCACCTTTACCCGCCATTCCTCACGTCTTGTTTTAAGACAGGGTCCACTCCCAACTCCACTCCTTTTGTTACTGTTTTTGTAGACTGGGTCTCGCTATGCAACCCTGGCAGTCTAGAACTGACTGTGTAGACCAGGCTGGCTTCAGACTCACAGATCCACCTTTATTGGGAATTTGATTCACTTTCTAAAGTCGTGTTAGTATTATGGGTGTGTGCTCATTCACGGAGGCTGGAAGCAAGTGTCGTTCCTTCTCTATGGCTCTCTAACCTCTTTTTTTTTTTTTTTTTTAAGCACCTGGGGTTCACCTATGGGATAATACGGCTGGTCAGTAAGCTCAGAGGATCTGTCCCCAGAACCCTCTTCCTGCCTTGGGGTCACAGACCTGAACCATTATGCATGTCTTTTATATGGGCAATGAGAATCCAAACTCAAGTCTTACATTTGTATGGCAGGCCTATGGAGCCAGCTCTCCAGCTCTTCCATTCCTCATATTTGAGGTCTCTGAACCAGGGGACTTCAGGACCCGGTCACCCTGGGCAGGTCCACATTGCTCATTGCCACAACAGTTACAGGGTTGTCTCTTTGTACTATTGCTTGCTGTCAGCCGCAGTTTGGAGGTGTGTGCGTTTCCTGGCTGGCTCCCCTGCTAGAGGCTAGCACTTAGTCCTGGGAGCACCTAGGCCCAGTAGCCAGAGCTGTTCGGAAGCCGTTGGAGAGAGAGGGAGTTGCCTAGTTGTAGTCTCTGGCCAGCAGGTGACAGCTCTATTTGTTCACCACGCTAAATTAGCAATGGAAGGGGAGGGGAACAGAGGGTTGGCTGTTCTCTTGTTCTCCAGGCATGTGAAAGGAAATGAACAGGACCTGCTGACATTCTAAAGGACACAGGGATGGCCTCTAAGTAGAACGAGGTCTGGCTGCATTGGCATCTGAGGTCTTTGGGGGCAATGGCAGGAGGTGACTCATGAAGCATCATTCCCAGTCAACAGTAAGCAGTTTCTCCATTCTAAAAAGAATGAAGCTAAGGGTTCCAAAAACAGCTGCTAGGTTGTAAATTCAGGACCCTGCCACTTCATGGGACAGAGGTAACTGGGGAATGGCTGGTAGAAAAGATCTGGTAACTCCAGGCTTTGCCAAGTAGAATACAGGGAAGCCTCTAAGTCAGAGCATGCAGGAACCATGGCAAGACCTTTGAATTCTAGTTCCTCAAAAACCCTGAGCAGGACATCTTGCCCATTCCCTGTGCACTGTGGGTAGTGGTACACTTCACTGCATCTTGGGTGCTTCAGGTGTGAGTTCCCGTTCGTTTCAGAAGTCTGAAAGTGACTGTCCTAGAAGGGTCACTCCTTGCGGAGGGCCAGAGGCTGAAACCCAACTTGGGGCTCCTCCACCTCTAAGTATTGGTTTTGGGGTGAGTTTGCAGATTGCTAGTTCTGTGACTCAGGGAAGATGCCCAGTATCTCTATGCTGCCATTGTCATTCACAGGTGTAGCCTCCTCACTGGTGGCCATGAGGACGAGATGGGGCCTCTCCTGTGTCATCCAGTCCTGGGAGCTGGTTCTTTAGGATTAGTGGGGTTAGGAGGGTATGATGCCTCCCAGCATTCAGGAGGCAGACACAGGACATCTCTGGGTTTGGGGTTATCCTGGTTTCCAGAACCAGTTCTGGGACAGCCAGGACTACACAGAGAAAGTCCAGATAGAAAACTAGGAAACTGGATGGATGGATAAATAAAAGAATTAATGGGGTCCTTCTTCCGTGCCCAGTAATCATGTCCCCTGGACAGTGCCAGCCCTATGGCTCCTGTTCTGTCTGTCCTTTCTCCATGTATGCCCTCTGATATGAGGCATGCTGGCTTCAGGGAGCCCCCACCCCTCTGCTAGTCACCCCAACTCCTTCCAGGCCCCTGAAGATGAGAAAGAGAAATAACGAGGCAGGAGCCCAGAGAAAGAAGATCCAGGAAAGAAAAAAGAAACAAGTTTTATTAAAGCCCCAACACTCGGCTAGAAAAACCAAAAGTAAGGGAAGGAAGCAAGGAGGTAGGGAAGAAAAAGGACAATAAGAAAAGAGACAGAAAACACAGCAACCCTTTCCATTTAGAAATTGTCAAGATACACCGACAGAGGTCACAGAATATCCACAGAAGCCATCACTGCTACACCAACACAGGCCCTACGGGGTGGATGGGGTGGGTGTGGGGCCAGGCTGGCCTTAGGGGCCCCACTTGGGACCCCACTAAGGCCTTGGCCCTGAGGCCCCTGGGGAACAGTTTATTGTGGAAGGGGCCAGAGAACCCCCATGCGAATAACACAGCACAGCGGGCAGGGGTTGGGGACCAGGTACAGGGTCCCCCAATGTGGCAGTTTCTCTTGTGAAGCACACACTGATGGACAGAGCGGTGAGGCGCATGCAGCTGAAGGGGGCATTGACGTGCTGTGGGCTTTGAGAAGGTGCAGGGAGGCCTCAGGAGGGGAGCCGGGCGAGTGTTGCAGGGATGATGGAACACACACACATGTACACGCACACCGACACATACAGAGGCCCTCTCACACGCCTGCCAACACCTGCACACAACCATACCCATAGCTCATGTTATCTCTATCCATCCATATATGGTCCTCACATGAACAGCCAGGCACGTCTGCACAGACATTACACATGTTCTTACCGCCCAGGTTCCTTTCATTCAATCATGCTGATGCCCAGGCAGGCTATGTTCACATACATGTACACAGCTTCACACATACAATATAAGATGCGCCTATGCACACACACACCATGCATGTGCACACATATAAGTTATGTAGGCTTCTGCCAACGTGCACACACACAGGCTGCACACAACCCCATACAAATGCCTCCCGGCACACACATGCGCAGGAACCCAAGTGAAGAACTATGCAAATCCCACAGGCCCTGCCTGAGAGCCTGGGCAGCCCCTGTAAGGATGGAGGGTCACCTCTCTCCGCTCCCCCTCCCTCCACAAAGGACACTCAGGACAATGACGGAGGGTGCACACTCAAGTCACAGGGCTTAGGGGGTGTGGGGGCAAGCAAAGAGTAGCAAGCAAAGAGAAATGGAGTGGAGGGGCCCCTCCCCCTCCCCTCCCAAGCCAGGGGTCTCTGTACAGCCAAATCAAACCAAACTGCTTCACCAACTACAGAAGCCAGGCCACACGCCTGCCCCCAGCCCCCTCCCCTGACAGACAGCAGCCAGAGAGAGCGTGCTGGGGTTTTCTTTTTTTTTTTTCTTTTTTAAATATTTATATATATTTATATTACGTATATTATATATATAATATGTAAATATATTTTTAAAACAATATAAAATGTTAAGACACTTCACTTAAATGTAAAGAGTTGCTTGCAATTAAAAGTAATTGCATCATTGTGAGGTCCTTTTTTTTTTTAGCCCCTATTTTCTAGGGATTTTTTGTGTTTTATTTTTTGTTTTTTTACTTTTATTTTTATTTTTTGTTGTTATTGTTTTTTCCTAGGAGGGATTTTTTTTTCTTTTTTTCTTTTTTTGTCATTTTCCTAAAAGGCTTGCTTGCCTTGGTACAAAAATGACCCAAAGCTAGAAAACAAGGGTGAATCAACAAATCAGAAGCAGAAATTAAAAAAAAGAAAAGAAACACACCCAGTTTTCCCTCCCTCCCCAAACTCAACAATCACTACTGGTCTCCCCCGCCAGACTCTAGGGTCTTGGGGTTCTGTTCCTTCAATGGTTCCTTTCTGTGCTTACTGGGGAACTAGTCCCAAGACCACATCTCTGTGCTTACTCTATTTTGGGCTCCAAATGGAGCCCCCTCCAGACTTCTATCCCCCCACACACATAATCTTTCTTCTTGTTCTGGCCCCTCTGTGCCTGCTGAGGACCAGGCCAGGACCAAGCCAGCCTCTCCCTTTGCCTCCAGGGCCCACCCAAAAGTCAGTCTGCCCTGTTCAGGACCCCTGCAGGGTATCCACAGACTGGATACTAGCTGACGGCTCTGCCTTGGGGACCCTCAAACACCTCACGGTGGTCACCAGATCCCCATAGACAAATCACGCCTCACCCCTTCCCTGAAAACCCTCAAATCATAAAGGCTGGTTGAAGGTCAAGCTGCCCCCAGCTAAAGGTCAGAGTCTTTACTGCACCCACCCACCCCTCTCTCTTTTCCCTGTTTCCTTACAACCAGACCCATCCCACCCTCCAAACTTGTTTCTAGGATCTTCCATTTTGCCCACCCCACCCCCATAAAATAAGTTAATGGCATTTAAAGTGCTAAATTAGGAAACTAAAAGAACCAAATGCCCCTCTCAGGGTTCTCTCCCAAGGCAGAGCCCCAGGGGCAGGCTGACCACAGGAGTACCCCTCCAGAACAAGGGGCCTCCTTCCGTCCTTTGCTAGCACCAACCAGACACTGAGTAACAGTGAGCCGGCTCCTCGCCTGGCACCTAGTGCCCCCTCCCCACTCAGCCTTGGCATCTTCTCTGGGGACTCCCATCCAGCAGGCCTGCTCACAGGCCCACCCTGGTTCAAGAGGAAACCTCAGGCCAGCAGCAGGTTTGTGTTTCTTCGAAGGCTGGACAGGCAGCGGAGTGTCTCCCAGGCCAGGGTCTATCTTGTCCAGTGTCCAGCCTGACGCTGGGTGGGTCCACGTCCATTTGTTCCTTCAGGAAGGAACCCAGTAACAGGAGGAGAATCTCTCTCTGCTGCAAGTCTCCGTGGCTCAGAGTTTGTTCCAAGTGTTCTTGGGAAGTTAGGGGAGGTTGGATGGACTTGGGAGGAAAGGGTGAAAGATCAGAGGGAGAGAAGATGATAGGAAGTAGGCCGAGCGGGGCCCTTAGGAAACAGGAAGTCAAGGGAAGTTGGTGTGTTTGGTTTTTAGTTTTCTCTTTTGCTCTTGAAAGAAAGAAAGAGAGAGAGAGTGAGAGAGAGGAAGAAAGTAAGAAGAAAGATAACTAAAAGAGAATCACTAAAAAAACCCCCAAAACACCAAGAGGAGATGAGAGAGCTGAGGGCCATGGCCCCAAAACCCTTCAGGCGTGAGAGTGGGGAGGAGAGGAGTGGGCATGAAAGGAAGCAGGGAACGATGGCAGGAGGGGGGCAGGCTGGGGTGGTGGTATGAGGGCCTTCTAGAAGGAGATGGAAGAATTCCTTGCCCCAAAGGAAGTCAATACGGGGATGGAGGTTCTGGAACCAGAGGGCTTTTCTGAGACTGGGCTCGAGGTCTCATTTGGCCTGCTCATCTCTTTAGATGGTTTAGTGGCCTGGAACAAAAACAGGGGTCAGGGGTCAGAGAAAGCAAAGGAGAAGCCTCCATGCTGGCCCCTGGCTGAAGTGTTGAAAAGTGGAAAAGTTCCACGAGTCCGAGAGAAAATTAACTGCAAAATCGAGAAACCAGAGGGGATATCTGGAGAGGGTACCTTCTGAACTGGGGACAGGGTGGGGTAGTGTGGAGGGGGGCAGAAAGAAGGGTGAGGGGAAGCGTGGGGTTGGATCAGAGGCCTGGAAACCAGAGTGGGGATGGTTCCGGTCCATGGTTACTGAGAGGAAAGACAGAAGACAGAGGAGATGCCAGAGAGACCCAGCCCAGGACAGGCAAAGGGGACGAGGGGTGGGAGGGGGGTAAGGGAGGGAAAAGAAGTGAAAGGTTAGCAGCAACAGGGGTGCATCTGAAGCCAGGCAGATGGGGTCAGTAGCTCAGCCCAGCTCAGGCCTGCTCCAGGTCCTCACCAGAAGGTCCCTGGCGTAAGCAGGAGTGAGCCAGAAACTCAGGGGAAGCATCCTCCACCAGCAGCATGCCTCCCGGCCCAGGATCCCCATCGTAACCCTCCCTGTTCATGTCCCCCAGCTCTGAGTGCTCCTAACAGTAGCCAGAGACCAGACTATGCTCCCAGGCTAGCTTGCCCAGCCAGAAGCCCCTGCACACACTGCGTGCATACGTGCACCCTCCCTACTTCCCCCTCCCCCACCCCAGCCTTGTCCGTTAGAGTCATGGGCTCCAGAGTATGGTTTCAGAGCCACTTGTATCATCTCCAATGGACAATCCATGGCACGTACCACAAATGCAGATTCCTGGGACCCCTTCCAGAATCATCTCTACTTTGGGGTGGGAATGTGCATTTTAACATTATAAGCGGGTGTCACTCACTAGTGGGTGAGGGGCGACACAGACAGGACTGTTCAAACTCTGTAACGGAATCCAACAACTCACCTGGAGTTTAGCTACCAGTATGATAACTGAAAGGACTTAATTTAAAAAAAAAAATAGCTGAGTGATAGCAGCACACACCTTTAATCCCTGCACTCAGGAGGCAGAGGAGGTGGATCTCTGTGAGTTTGAGGCCAGCCTGGTCTACAGAGCTAGTTCCAGGACAGCCAAGGCTAGCTACATAAAGAAACCCTGTCTCAAAAAAAACAAAACAAGGCTAAGGCAAGAACATAGCAAATTCCAACCAATTTGGGCTAAATAGTGAGACCCTGCCTTAACAAACCAAACCAATAACAAAAGCCACTATAAGGAAAACTAGCAAAGAGAATCATGTGGCACACGTGACCAGTGACCTGCCAGAGGTTCCTGAGATCAGCGTTGGGCATGGCTTTTCCTAAGGACCTATGGAACCACCCTGGGGCTAGGAAGGCTCTCCTAAGTACCCTGGGGTGGAGTGCTACCATCTCAAGCAAGCCCTGCCTACAGCCGCCTTCAGGAAACAGGAGGTTGCCACATTGTAACTGTCCCTCTTCTGCCTGTGTGCAAGTGGCCCACACTGATTCACATAGGCTTTTCCAAGTTGCAGCTGGTAGCCAAGTCTTCCCCTTCAGGAGAGTCAAAGCAAGCTGTGGATTCAGAATGTACCCTCTACTGTGGCCCTCATCATCAGTCAGGGTCCTACCCCACAGCATTCTTTGCCCATTGCCTTGAGTCAGGTGTGACTTGGCTCTCCTGGCTCCATTACCTGGGCCTGGGAACAAACTCAAAACAGGCACCTACGTGCTCTCTGTCAACTGCTTTGGCTTCAGGTCTGCGCCCCCCCCACTTCTGCCTTAGTGTCCCCCACTTAAAATGATAACTCTGAGCTAGAAGAGACATCTCAGTGGTTAAGAGTGTTTATCGCTCTTGCAGAGGACCTGGGTGCAGTTTCCAGCACCCACAGGGCAACTCACAGCCACCTGTAAGTCTAGGTTAAGGGTTCTAAAGCCTTTCCCTAGCATCTATGGCTTCCTGCACACATGTGGTATGCAGGTGCATACAGACTGACTCAGGCTCACACACATGCACATTAATAAAACAAACAAACAAACAAACAAAAAAAAAAAAAAAACAAAACTGGGAGGTGGTGACACACACCCAAAACTCAGGAGGCAGAGGCTCTCTAGACCAGGCTGGCCTCAAACTCAGAGCTCCTCCCACCTCTGCTGGCACTAAAAGTATGATGTGCCGCCACACCCAGCTGCATTCAAATACCTATGGGGATGGTCTCTCCTCATGAGGGCTGCCTGTAACTTGCATGTTTTGTTCATTTCTTAAGTGCCAGCCTCCATCTGGGGATACGCCGGCTGTAGCTCTATCCAACATCCACTAAAGCAAAAGCTGCTTGGCAACACTATGTTTCTGTGAGTTCCCTGGTCTCTGAGGGCTTCTGTCATGTCCATGTCACCTGCCAACAGTCCCCTGTGAGTTGTTTTGTTTTGTCTTTTAAGATTTATTATTTTCTTTTATGTGTATGTGTTTTGCTTGCATGCATGTTTGTGTCCCGCATCCATGCCTGGTGCCCACGGAGGACACCCTGCAACTGGAGCTACACATGGTGTGAGCCACTATGTGGGCGCTGTGGATTGAGCCTGGGTCCTCAGTAAGAGTGGTGATTGCTCTTAACCAGTCATCTCTCAAGCCCCTCCCTCCATCCATGGGTCTTGATTTTGTTAAAAGAAGCAGAACTTCCTCTACTTCTGTGACGAGATAGAACCCTCAGAGAGCTTCAGCTTTCCTCTGGGACAATCGGGACAATTCTGGACCCAGAAGCCATGCCAGCACCCCTCCGCTGCTAGACCACCCTGCACCTGCAGCTCAGGTTATTGCAGGACATGTGTCCCTCCAGGCTCTGACTCAGTTCCCTATGAGGGTGGATCAAGCTGGAGCTGCACACCCTGATGGCTGCCACCCAGGGACTAATAGGAAGGTGCTATTCCCCCTACTCTTCCCCCTAGGGGGTCACAGAGCCAGCTGGTATTAGTCCCTGGTCTATCTGTTCCCTCCACACTCTGGTGGTTCCTTCATTCAAGCCATTAAAAGACAGAGTAGATGGCTGGCCTACAAGACGCGGCTTCTAGTCCACACTAAGATCCTATGCACAGCATGCAAGGGCTCTTCATGTCATCTCTGTCCTTGTCACATCCATTGTCATGCAAGCCCTCTATGCATTTCCTTCCTTCACCTGTGTCCCTGGCCCCCACCACTTTTGCAATTCTCTCCATCTCATGAACATGAAAACTCTGAGGTCAGGCCTAATGCCACGGGCCTACCATCCCACCGACTGAGGATGCCGAGGCAGAATCCACAGTTCACGTTCTGCCTGGGAAACTGAGTGAGACCTTGCCTTAGTGATCCAGGTGGCTGGAGCATGTGCACGATGGAGCAGAGTCTAACGGAGGACCAGTCGTGTGGACTGAGCAGTTAGTGAAGGGATTCAGTCTGGGGTTTGAGGGCACAGATTTTAAACTGCTACATGTGTGAGCTATCATGAAATATACGTTTTAGAAAGTCCTCACAGGTCTTAGAAAATCGATGACAGGTGACAGTAGTCACAAGTGACCTTAGAAAATCATGAATTTAGGTGGTGATATCACCTGGTTTGGTTTTCTGTTTTGGGGCTTTTTTTTTTTCCTACAGTACTAGGGGATTAAACGGCCCCCACCCCCACCCGCATCCCCACCCTGCAGCAGGCAGGCAATCAATCCTCCACTGAGCCAAACCTCCCCATGTCGGCTTCTTTTACTGTTTCCTTTATTTAAAACATTTCCTAAGAAACATGTATTGCTTTGTCAGAAAGCAAATGTGTTCTAAAAGACAAACTCTGGCACAGCACAAGTGACCGGAATGGCTGGAAAAGGGCAGCAGGTGGGAAAGAGGCCCATCCTTGGGTAGGGAGGGGCAGGAAGGGACCAAGCTGTGGGGCTTGGTATCCAAGCTGCGGGGCTTAGGGGCTGGGTGGTGGCTCTGAGGGAATTAAAACTGGAGAAGTCACAGGTTGGAAGGGGAGAGGCTGTCATGTCCACACAATGGAGGAGATAGAGGCACTCACAGAAGGGCCAGAGGTGAGGAGTCCACCACAGTGGCCCAGGCAGGCAGGGTGAGGCAGGAACAGAAAGGAGCCAGGTATGTGACAGTGATCTGGCAGGGACATCTGCCAGTCGCTGACGTCAGGATTGATCTGGTTGATCTGTCTGGCTAGGCGGGTGTCCCTTCCTTCCTCATATCTCCATATGCGTCCCTCCCAAGGCTGCATGGTTGATCCAGGAGGACAACCTTCTCCAGGAGATTTCCCTCCATAGAAGACCATGCTTGGGCCAAGGGCAATAAAGGAGATGCACTTTCCAGTCAAACCTGCTTTCGAGGTTCATAAGAGAACCAGGGCGGGCTGATGGGAGAGCTGGGGAGTGTGGGATACCAAGCCACCTCATCCGCCTTACAGAGGTCAGCTGAGCCCACCAACCTGTGACTGAAAAGCAGGTGCAAACGCAGCTTCTTCCCGAGCTGAGAGCAGAGTGAAAGGTGCAGAACAGGCGGGGGCCATGCACAGGAGAAAGGCGGGCGGGAGGGAAAGATGGCTGCAGTGCAGGCTGGCTCTAGGAGCCACCCAACCACTGAGGAAGGAAGGGAATCTGTACAGGGCAGGCACTGCTCAGGCAGGGAGCAAGGCTCCTCTGTGCTTGAGCAGGAAACTGGCTGTGAATTCAGAGACTCACGTCTAAACCAGATCCAAAGCACCGGGGCTGCAAGGAGGGACAAGATGGAGGGCATGATGACAGGGAGGGACCCACAATAATCGGAACCATCACTGGAACAGTGGCACAAAGCAGAGGCTTGGTGTCCCTGTCCCGTAACCCACCCTCACCTGCTGCTGGGCCTGGATCCTCATGTACTCCGTCCTTTGCTTGCTGTGTTTGCCTTTATCAGGGCTGCCTGCTGGGCCCTGGGTTGCCTTCAGACGAGAAGCTCCTGGAGTCACCACCTTCATGGGTGGCACGCTGCCACCACCGCTCTGTGGAGAGAGAGACAGGGCTGGGGTGGGACAGCTCTAAGCACTTGGGTGGAGTCTCCGGGATTAGGACCTCCTCAGGGAGGTCCTTGGAGACCAGGAGACCCCTCCCTGACTCCACATGAGCATCCCGGACTTAAGTCCCTCTGAGCCCAGATTCAAGGCCTCCCTGTAGGAGATGATCAGGCTGGGCCCAGTCCTGAGTGAGGGCTCACTTGTGACTTCCCTGAGTGGCTCAGGGGCAGCTCGTACCCTCCTAGGAATCCTCTTCTACAGGGAAGGCCCCAGTGCCACTCAACTCCCAGCCAAGGACACCATCCTGGCCCAGGAGACAGAGTTGGAATTGTGGGGTCTCTGATGAGTGAGCATCCTCAGGTCTGCACTACTCCCGAACGGGAAGGCAAGAGGTGAAATTTCCCCCCAGAGATGCGTATATCTGGTCCCCTGGCCACACCCTCATGTAACAGCCCTTCCCAGAGACTCTGGGGACCCAGAGTCGCGAGCAGTGAAATGACAGTGACAGAAAGAGTCAGAGACAGGAGGGGGGACGAGGGGATGGAGAAGAGGAGAAAGCTTTATTCTCCGGTTTACAGAGATCAGACAGGGACAGAGTCCAAGCAGCAGAGCTGAGTCCTGGGTGGGCCGGCTTCCCGGCCGCCCCTGGCTCTGCCCATAGGCCCTGGCCTGGGAACAGGCTCCCAGAGGGTGACAGGCTGAAACAAAGGCAGTGGGGTGAGGAAGGTGGGGAGCTCCTGGGGTCCCACTCTCTCCACTCTGAAGGCACAGAGACTGGAGCAGGAAAGCGGCAGCAGAGAAGAAGGCAGAGGCAGCCACCTGGGGGCTGGGGGCTGGGGGCTGGGGGCTGCTTGGACACTTCATAGTCGTGTTGGTGCCCATCTTGCTGAGGGTGGCTTCTAGCTCCTGGATCGTCTCCTCCAGGCTGTCCATGCGCAGCGGGGTAGCATACTGTACTGTGCTGCCTGAGCTGATGGCCTGCTGTCCTCTACTGCAAGCTGGAGTGTCACATTCAGAGTTTTGAGAGGTCTCCTCTGAGTGGGTCTCAGCAGTAAAAGGCCTCTGAGTCTCATGTGGGGATGGTCCCCAAGGACAGAGAGCTTCGGCTTCTGCATTGTGTGGGCCATGTAGAACTGCTAGTTCCTTTCTGGACAGTGAGCTGCTCCTGGGCCAGAGTACCTCAGCAGCTAGTTCCGGCAAAGCTTGTGGGCCATTCCAAGCCCTTCCACAGCCAGCCAGGGTCCGGGGTCTTGGTGTGGGGACTGTCCTGGGACCCAGTTCCTCTAAGCTGGCCTCTAGCAAAGAGGGAGAGCTGGAAGTGCATTCTGTCAAGATGATCTGAGGGATACAGAGGACCCTGGGACCCGAGGCAGCCTGGGGGGACAGAAAACGAGGAGTGTGATCCCTGCAGACTAAATCCTGAGCTGGGATGATCCCACTTCATTCCTATCCCAGACGAGGAAACTGAGTCACAGACAGTCCTGATGATATCACCCAATAAACTGGAGGCAAAGCTGAACCTACAGAGCAGGTGTCTCCCCGTCCCACATAGCGGCGCCTCCTGCTTCGTGGTATTGACCAGCGGCAGAAGCAGGGGTATGTGTTCTTGCCTACCACCCAGGTCAACTTGGGAGTAAATCTCAGGCTTCATCCCAAGCACAATGGGACTGTAACATGGGGTGGGCAGCAAATTAAATGGGTCCATGAGGGCACTCCATTGAGTGCTTGGCATCATTTCAGTAAATAAACGCAAGCTACTGGCTCAATTGAACCAAATAACTGAGACCTTCTGCTGTTACGAGCAGAGATTAGATGCTGGCCTCTACCTCAAGGATGGGACCATCTTCCTCATCCTGGGCCCTGGACTCACACCTGTGAGGCCTTCTGCAGTGAGCTCAGACATAAAAGGGAGGAGCTTGGCCATGGCCAGTTCCTTGGCCTCATACCCTGGGCAATGCTCCCTTTAGGTGCCTGTTTCTATGTGAGTATCTTGGCTATGGCTCTGGAATAGACCCAGAGGCCTCAGGGACCCTGTGAACCTGAGTGAATTCTGCCCTAACTCTAAGTACCTGCCCATGTCGGGCACTATGCCTTCACCTTCAATGCTGTCTGCAAATCCTGAAATGGTTGTCACTGTCCTTGTTCCCACTTCACAAGTCAGGAGCATTAGGATTCACACCCTGTCCAATCCTCAGCTAGTTAGTGGCAGAGCCAGGATGTGGACCCAGATAGCCTGGGTTCAAATCCAGCGCTCTTTTCACTAAACAAGCCTTGAGGAGACCCCTCCTATACCTCCCACGGCAAGCCGCCCAGTCCTACCACTGCTTACCTGGAAGTAGGGTGCACAGGGAGGCAGACAGGGCCCCCCGTTCGCCAGGCTCCTCTGCCTGGCAGCGCCTCAGGATGCAGAGAGGCAGCCAGGGAAGGGTCCCCTCGTGACTGAGCCCCAGAACCAGAAAGGGGCAGAGCTGGGTGCTGAGGACAAAATCAGTCAGGAGGTGCCCCTCTCACACTGCTCAACCCTGAGGACTCCTGGGATGGACTGCAGATGGCACTGTCCCCTTCTGATGCCTGTCTGCACCCCTGCCAGAAAACCAAAGGCCACCAGGCCTCAAGCCAGGCCACAATGCCAGTGGCTGCCATCATGGACCCCATTGTGGGCTGGGGAAAACCCCAGGAGGGAGGGGAGAGTGTGTGTGCACGCATGTGGGAAGTTGAGGACAGAGGTCCTCTTATCCCAACCTGGCTTGGCAGAGGGAGAGCTCCCCAGGCCTTTTCCCAGCCTCCTCCTTAAGCACAGTCCCTTGGGAGTGCAGGCAGGGCCCACCCCCCACAATCCCAAGAGGGAGTAAGTGCAGCAGGAGAGCAGCAAGGGCTGGAGTCAGAAGGGAGAACTTCAACACTGGAGGAGAAACCCCAGCAGCCAAGGAAGGCCGTGGGCCGTTCTCATCGCAAGCGCCCTGACCAAGGCCTCAAGAACAGCCATGGGGCAGGGAGAGGCTGAGGGAAGCCATCCCCCTCGATCTGTCCAGACCCCTCCCCCAGTGCAAGGCATAGATTTCAGTGGGAGAAGCAGAGCCCCTCCCCTGGCATGAGCAGCAGAGCAGGGTGTAAGGAAGGGACCAGGCAAGGTCTCAGGACAAGGTGAGATTGAGCTGGGCTCTAAGTCATTTCCTGAACAAGATCCGAATTCCAATCTTGGCCCAAGAAAATGCACAGGCTTTGGACCCAGCCTAAACTCAGGCCGCAAATGGGAACAAAACATCCAAGAGCCAGATAGAATCAGACCTGGAAAGGAACTCAAGGGTCACACCAGACACCCAGGATGCAGTCTCCAAGGAAGACCGCCAGGGAAGCCTCGGGGAGGGACAAGTTGTGCAGTGGTGCGCTGCCCTTGGCGTGTGCAGGAGGGTGAGTCCATGGGTGGGCGTGAAGCTGGGGCAGGGGCAGGGGGGCTGGCATGGATGGTGTGTTAGCGGGTTAGCGTGAAAGGTGCAGAAAAGGAAGCTGTGGTACCAGGCAGAGAGAGCCGTGAGAGGTGCGGAGAGGCCCAGGAGGCCTGTTACCTTCCATGGGGAGCTCAGAGCTGAGCCCCCAGGGGACCCCAGGTCCTGAGGGGACAGCAAGGTGGGGATCGGCTGGCGGCGGGGCGTAGGGGGAAGGGAAGATACTGAACTTCTTTCAAACACCTGGGGAGCAGAAGGCAGGAGCAAGTTTGGAGGATGGGGCTCCAGTGAGGACCCAGGCACTGGTTGAGTACCCAAAAACCAATGGAGAGTGTGGCCCAGGATGGCACAGGCCCGTCACCCCTTGGCCCTCACCATCCATGGCTGACCCAGTGGGCCTTAAATTTCTCCTCCACAGGGCACTGATATTCAGGGACTCTGGCAAGGGGCAAAGATTTCTGGGAACCCTATAAGCTGTGGCTTATAGTAATGCTAGGTCCTTTAGCATGATGAACTCCAAGATTCTGGTCCAAGAATACTGAGGCATGAAGGTTTTGGAGCATGAGATTGCTTGGGTATGGTCTCAGTAAGCTCAGAATATGCAGATCTGGGGATTTCAGAGTACAGTGGGTTTTTGGGTTGTTGGGGGGTGGGGGAGCTGAAAGATTGTAATGAAAACTCAAAACCTACCAGGAGGAACTTTAGACTGTCTCCTTCCATTTCAGAGTGGAGAATAAATGAAAGCTAAGAAGCATGGGCCCTAGGGCTAGCTCTCTTCTGCCTGCCCGGGGCCTGCTGCCTAGCCCTGAGGAAGGCTTGGCAGGGAACTTGGCCTGGCTGAGGCCTTGTTCAGTCATGCCTGACCCACCTCCAGCTCAGCAATGATGCGCTCCTCATCATCTTCATCCTTGATGGCAGAGGCCATGATAGGTGGTGTGGAGGCAGGGCGGGCCACCTCAGACACAGCCCGGCGTAGCTTCACCTGGGGTTTCTGGACCTCCAGCTCCTCAGACTCTGCCTTCTGTAAAGCCCAGGTGTCTTATCAAGCCTAGATCCTTCCCTCCCTCCAGCAATGACTCACCCCCCACCCCAACCCTAGCTCCACCGGTTTTCTGCCAGGAAGACCCACCCCTGACCCTGCCAGAGCCTGCTGTGGGACTAGAATCACACCCAGCCCTAGATTCCAAGCTGGAAGTCAAGTTGGGTTGCCCAGCTGACTGCTATCCTCTCAGAGGCCATCCCAAGCTCCCCCTTAAAGCAGCCCTGAACCCCACCAATTGGGGATGTACCTTGATGAAGGCCGAGTCTTTCTTGCTGGTGACCACCACCTCTCCGGTACGCGTGGTGGTCAGGCCGTGGGAGGAAGGGAAACTCCGGCGAGGAGGGGGTGGTGGGGGTGACTTAGAGGGCTTCTCTGTGCGGTACCGGGGCACTGTGAGCTCATCTGCAAGCAGTGGGGATCTGGGGTCAGGGACCCATCACAACAGTGTCCACAAGACGAGTGCTCCTTGCTCCAGGAGTGACCAAGAGGACAGCTCAGGAGAGACGGAGGCAGGACCCCTCTCATTCCATTTCCCCATAGCTGCCGTCCCAGCCCCACTCCCTCCAACAGCTGTCAGGGATCCAGGAACACTGCAGCACCGGCCAGGCCCTCGGACCTGAGCTGCTGACCCGGCACGGGCATCCTAACGTCCCCAGGGGTTCATGGTTACAGTCAAGCCTGGGACTTTATGCGCTCTGATCTGCCTCTTGGCCGCAGCTGTTCCTCAGCCCCACCATTCTCTGAGCTCCATCCTTTCTCTGAGGAGGCTGGTCTGGCTCACCATCCCCCTTCCTTCCTCCAGCCTGGTTTCCACGGCAACCCACTGAAAGGTCACTCAAACCATAACACCCTAGCCTTTGATTCTCCTGTGGCTTGCCACCAAGCTGAACAGTCGGAGTTCCTAGTCCAGCACCTTCCACAGCCTTTCAGCCTGGCTGTGCACTAAGGCCCAGCTTGGACTCTGTCCCAGCCAAGCAGCACCTCCCCTGCACTTGCCACTCTGCCCCTTGCAAGGTGCACTCATTGGCTGGGGAGTGCCTGCTCATCCCTAAGGGTCCACTGGAGAGGACTTCCTCCCTTCTAGCGCTGTACAGCTCCAGCCCAGCTCAGGAGCCACACTTAGCCCCTTTGTTCTAGGGATACATTAAGTGTGGTCTGGGGCACATTACATAACATTACATTTGGAGTCTGTCCTCTTTGTAAGGAGGGGATGACTGTGTCTGCCTTCTTCAACTGCTGCAAAATCAGAAGGCATCATGTATTAAGTGCCAGAGAAATGTCACAACCTGCCCCATCATTAAATCCTAAGCACAGCCTATAGAGATGGCTCAGAGGTTAAAGGTGCCTGTTGTACAAGCCTGATGACCTGAATCTGATCCCATGATCCCATATTGGAAGAAGAAAATTAATTCCCACAACTGGTCCCCTGGTGTATAAGCATTTACACACATACACACACACACAAATAAGATCATTAAAAATCTTTTCAATAAAGAAGTTCTGGGGCTGGAGAGATGGCTCGGTAATTAAGAGCACTGGCTGATCTCCCAGACCCAGGTTTGATTCCTAGCACCTACGTGGTGGCTCATAGCCATCTGTAAATCCATTTCTAGGGGATTCAACACTCTCGGGCCTCCTCAGGCACCAAGCATGCACGAGATGCACAGGCATACATACAGGCAAAACATCTATGCACATTTAAAAATAGAAAGATAAATTCTGAGGTCTCTGAAGTCGCTTTCACAGTCAGGGTTACTGGAAAGAATTCATGAACCAATGATGGTTGTACCTCTCCTCCTTCAGATACTGCCTCCTGCCCTCCTGCAGGCTTGGGAGGCCATACTGGTCAATGCCCTGCTTCAGAGCAGACTGTCTCTCCTCTCTCTCTCTCTCTCCTCTCTCTCTCTCTCTCTCTCTCTTTCTCTCTCTCTCTCTCTCTCTCTCTCTGAGTGGGCAAGGATCACACTGCTTGGATGTACCTCCTGTATGAGCCTTCCAGAAATAATGGGGAGAAAACTGGACAGACTCCAGCTTACTCTGTCCCTCTGTGCCCTGGTCCCTTTGGTGACTGCTAATGGCTGGCACCCCATTTCTCTGGCAGCCTGGCTACCATGATGCTCACTCGCAGTGTTTCCCCATGAGCCAAGCTCTGAGGATGGGGCCTTAAACCCCCATACCTGAGCCTCTCCTCCCACTGGGCTCTGTCCGGGGGGCTGCCTTCTGACCATGGGGTGCCTTGGGGGGCTTGTGGTCTGGGGTGGGAGTGGGTCCTGTGTGGGCCTTGCTGGCACAGTCCAGGTCAGGGATGGCCTTGAGCAGCTCAGCCTGTGTCTCCTCCAGCAGCCGGTTGATGTCCTTGGCGCTGTACTGGGTCAGGGCTGCCCGTTTCTCTTCCCAGTCTCTCTCTGCAGCCTTGACAGAGGAAGCAGAGCTGGTGTCAGGATTCCTGCCCAGGACCCCCTGGGCTCTGGCAATCAGCCCCTTCCCCAGCCACACATGCTAAAAACAAGAGGAGAACTTCATGAAGAACTGGCCCCTCCTACTGGGCGCTGCACTCCATCCATGTAGCCTAGAAAGACCACTTTCATTAAATATAACATTAGGTTTATTTCTGGATGTTCTGTTCTTTTTCAATGACCACCCAGCTTGTGTTTATACCAATACCATATTGCTTTAATTATTGTGACTTTATAGTATACTTTCTGTAAGAAGGATAAATGTCACCGATATTCCCGACCCTCTTCCCAAAGGGCCCATGTGCTCCTTTGGTATCTGGCTTTCCAGGTGACAGCAAGACTGAGAGCCCAGCTTGTGCCCCGCCCTGGCCCATCACCTCAACAGACACAGCTTTGTCCACGCTTCTCTTGCCGGAAGCATCCAGGCCTTTGGTGGGATTGCTGCTCTTTGGGGTCAGAGGGGCTCCTTCGGCAGGCCCACTCAGCTCATGGAGATTCAATGGAGGACTCGGGGGTGGTATTTCAAAGTCCAAGCCCTTGCTGAAATCTGTTTCAGCTGCCACCTTCTTGGGAGACTGGCTCAGGAGACTGTTGGGGGGTGGCCACACCCCTTCGTCCACTTGCCTGTGGTTGGGAGAGTTAGGAGCAGCTAGTGAGAGGTGGTAGCCCCTGGGGGTGGGGCACGCTGCCGATGTGAGGAAGGCCCTGGGATCTTGCTGGAGACGTGGGAGAGTCTAAGAAGGCTTGTGAGGGAATGTCAAGGCATTTGCACGTAGGGGTCACAGGTCAGAATAGAAGAAGAGATCTAGCCGGCACATTGTGACCTCGGAGGAACCAGGATAAAAGGTCAGGTGTTCCTATGGGTCTGGGTCCAGTGTGCAACCCCATGGGAAATTAGTGACAAAGGAGAGAATGACCTTCGGATCTGGGCCAGCGTGTCAGTGACCCCCCGGCAGCGCTTGAGAAGTCCATCGAGGCGCTGAGGCTCCTCCTTCAGGAACTTCACGGCCTCCACCTCCACACGCAGCACCACCCGCATCTTACTCTGCAGGCCTGGGAAATGAGCTGAGAGGCCAGGAGAAGAAGTAAGCTGGCCTAGAAGGAGCACTGAGGAGTGGGCACACTGCAGGGGAGCACAGCAGGGACCCCTTCAGGATCACCCTTGACAGGGCAGGCTCACCCTTGAGCTCCGTTAGCGTCTCCCCAAGCTGTTTTAGCACCAGCGCCTTCTCTTCCAACTCAGGACCAGGCACCAGCCGGTGGTTATGGGCCACATCCCTCTGGATCTTCTCCACTGACTTCTCCAGGTCACTGCAGGCACAGAGAGACCCTTCTCAGCCCCTCTGGCCCCAGCCTAGCCCCCTGAAATGAGCAGCTGGAAAGAAATTATGCCACCAATCAGATCAAAATTAAAAGCTACAGCCAGCTGTAATGGCTTACTCCTGTAATCCTAGCACTTGGGAGGCTGAGGCAGGAGGATTGTTGAAAGTTTGAGGCCAGCCTGGGCTACAGAGTAAGACCCCCGACTCAAACAAAACATTAAAAAAAAAAAATCACAAAATCAAAAGCCAGCTATCCACCAGGCTACATGCCCAAATGAAATCAGAAATGCTATATCTCAAAGATGAGACTTCCACATAGTTCCTTAAGAGGCTCCCAGGCCTCCCCACAAGCCTGTAACACCAGCACTCACCTATCATCCTATGCTGTGAAACCTCAGACTCATCCACAGAAGCAGGGAGGACATGGAGGTCACACAGTCTTACAGAGCCTAGCTAGAGACGGCTGTACATGTCTGAGGGCAGTCATGCCCATCACCCTTTGTCAAATGACCCTGCCACAGAGCCTTTCTCCTTGAGGCCAAAACCACCTCAGGTTTTCAGCTGGTTCATGGTAAACATTTATGATCCCACATCTTCCTAAAAAGTAAGTCAGGAGCGGAGCAAATGTGTAATCCCAGCCCTTGGGAGGGAACAGGTTGGGAGGGAACAGGATCACAATTTTAAGGCCAGCCTGGGCTACAGCAAGATGCTGCCTCAAAACAAACAAACTAAAAATCCCAACAAAAGCAAACCAAGTTGTCAGCCTTTGTGTTACACTCTTAATGTGTGGGTAGGCGGGAGGCTGAGGAGATGGCTCAGTCTGTAAGGTGCTTGCTATGCACCCGAATTCAGATCCTTAACACCCATCTTTTAAGATGAGCACGGGTGAATAACTTTAACCCCAGTATTGGGTGAGGAGGGGGCAGAGACAGACCTGGGAGCTCACTGGCCAATTCCAGGGTCAGTGAAATACAGAGAGACCCTGCCTCCAAAATTAAGGTAGAGAGGTTGGAGAGATATTTTAGCAGCTAATGAGCACTTGTTGCTTTTGCAGAGGACCTGGGCTCAGTTCTCTACACCCACATGGTGGTTCAGAATCCTAACTCCAGTTTCAGGGGATCCAACACCTTCTTCTGACCTTCTTGGACACCAGACATATACACAGTACACACAGATACATGCAAGCAAGCATACGCATAAAATAAAACTCATAGATCTTTTTTTTTAAAGTGGAAAGTGATAAAGACACCTGAACTAACCTCTCACATCCACATGTGCAAACACAAACATGTATACACACAGCCATGTGTATACCACACAAGCACATACAATACATACATTATATATAGACATATATATATAAGATAAATAAAAATGAAGCCCTAAGTAGAACCACTGTCTTGAGGCTAAACCCCAAACTTAGCCCTACAGTCACAAGATCTGTATCACGATCCTTCTGTGCTTTCCCAGCAGAAAGCTCTAGTACAATCACCTAGTGTCCCTGGGCTCTCTGGCTCTCAGTCTTCTCACTCGGAAGATGAGTATGCTGGGGCTGGTGAGCTGGCTCAGCAACGAAACACACTTGCTGCCAAGACAAACCACCTGGCTTCCATCCCCAGGACCCACATGGTAGAAGAATCAAACTGACTGGACATTCCCACTGTGGCACTCACATATACACACCCAGTAAATAAATAAATGTCATTTCCTTGACAGGATATCAAAAGTTCTAAGTTCCAGGCTGGCCTGGAATTCACTATGTAGACTCCTTCAACCCTCTTGAATAGAATGCACCACCATACCCAGCTTTAAAAAATTTGTAAGAAATGGGTATGGGCCGGGTGTTGGTGGCACATGCCTTTTGTCCCAGCACTCGGGAGGCAGAGGCAGGAGGATCTCTGTGGGTTTGAGGCCAACCTGATCTACAGAGCAAGTTCCAAGACAGACTCCAAAGCAATACAGGGAAACCCTGTCTCAAAAAAGAAAGAAAGGAAGGAAGAAAAAGAAAGAAAGAAAGAAAGAAAAAGAGAGAAAGGAAGGGAAGAAGGGAGGGAGTAAGGAAGGAAGGAAGGAAAGGGTATGCTAGGAGTGTCTCTGTGGCTGCAATGAGGACTAAAGGAGCCAATGATCCCTGGAGATTACTCTAGATTCTCTCTCTCTGCATCTCTACCTTTCCTGCTTGCTTCTGCTTGGATCATTCAGAATCTCTCCTTATAGGTGCTGCCTTCTCTGGCCCTTTAGAACACCATACTCTCAGCTCTGAGTATTCCATCTGCCTGTACATGCTAATTTCCATGCGAATTTCATCTCAGGTCTCAAAAAGAAGCTCCGCCCCGTCTCCCCACTCAGGGTTGCGGGTCTTCTCCTGCCTCCCCAACTCCCTTAGGCTCCTTTTTGCTGACTTGTGAACTTTCTGTGTCACTAGCCCAAAACAGGCAAGAATCATGTCTTCCAGTTTGACCTCTGTTCCCAGCACCCAGCTCAGTGCCTGGTTCAGAACAGACACATGGTCAATAATTGTGGAACTGGGGCTGGAGAGACGAATCTGCGACTTTGAGCACACAGTGCTCTTGCGGAGGACCTGAGCTGGACTCCTAGCACCCACATCGGTGAGATCTGACGTGATTCTTTAAAAATTTAACTCTTTAAATTATAGGATGAAGAAGTGAGAGAAAGAATTGCTACAGGTAGGTACGTCATCTCACATCCCACCTGCTGGATTTCAACTCAACCTTGCAGGGGTTAAGTGCCTTGACTCTGTTCTACCACGTGATGTGTCTGCTCTCTCTAAGTTCCGTGTCATCAGCCTAGCTCATCAGCACACCTTGGACATCACCATCTAAACAGCTGGTGAAAAGACAGACCAGGGCAGAGGCAAGGGCAAAACCCTAAGATTCAGCACCACCGGTTAAAGAGCCACTTTGAACTAAGCGCTTCCTGTTCACCTGGTGCTGCATCTGTACATTCATTTCCTCATTTTAACCTTACAACAGGTCCTGGAGGGAGGAACATTACTTCCGGTTAGTGCATGAGCAAGCAGTGCTTCAAAGACTAAATAAACTACATTTCCCAGCTTCCCTTGTGATTAGAAGTGAGCTATGCCCATCCAGTGGAATAGGGATGGAAGGGATGCATGCTGCTTCCAGATCTGGTCCATAAACACTTCCTATGCAAGCGCCTGCTACTCCTTTTCCCTTTCTGGTTGGTGATTAAGACCATGATCCTCTGGGTGATTTTGGAAGGCACATGCTAAACAAGGCAGAAACTCCACCAGCCTGGATCCCAGACCGACTGCCTATGGGAGAGAAACTTGCTAACCTATCCAGTGTTTTCTAAGAAAGATCTATTATTTTTTGGTTTTTTGTTTTGTTTTGTTTTTTTTGTTTGTTTTTTTTTTTAAGCTACAAGACTTGGCTGTCATTTTTTAATTTTTTCAAAATATTTATCTATTTAGCTTATGTGTATTGATGTGTTGCCTGCATATGTGTCTGTGTGCGGGTGCCAGACTGAAGTTACAGACAGTTGTGAGTTGCCACGTGGGTGCTGGGAATTGAACTTGGGAACTCTGGAAGAGCAGCCACTGCTCTTAACCACTGAGCTATCTTCCCAGCCCTTATTTTTTGTTTTTTTGGAAAGATGTTTTTATTGAGCTTTAGGTGTGTAAGTATTTTGCTTGTGTGTATGTGTATGGTATGCAGGCCTGGTGCCCATGGACGCCAGAAGCATACATCAGAACCTCTGGAACTGGAATTCCAGACAGTTGTGAGCTACCATGTGGGTTCTGGAAACTGAATCTGGGTCTTTTTTTTTTTTTTTTTTTTTTTTTTTTTTTTTTTAACTACAAGAGCATTAAGTGTTCTTAAGCCCTGAGTCATCTCTTGAGCCCTTTTAGTTAAGTTTTTGAGATACACTCTCAATATATCCCAGGCTGCCTGAAGATAAGTAGCGGAGGATGGCCTAGAACTCATGATGCTTCTGCCTCTATCTCCAGTGTTAGGACTACAGGCCTATTCTATCACACCACACCCAGCTTAATGTCTTTTATTTTAGAGCCATTAAATGATTTGGGAGCTTCTTGTTATAGCAGCTGCCTTATTTACTCTAACTAAGAGGGATGGCAGAGGCTCTGAGATGAACTAATTCAAGGTCACACAACTATTCTGTGGCATAGAAGTATCTACTCATGTAGCCATTGGCTCTGATATGTCTCACTTCCAAACTGGATGATGTCACCTGCCCGCAGTTCTACCCAGCCCTCACTCTACCACAGGGGAAAAATCAGCCCTTTCTCACAGCTAGCAATGGGTCAGCAGACACACTCAGGTGAAAACAGGCTTCAGACAGCGGGGACAGCATCCAGAGAGAGCCCAAGCCTCTGGCTAGACGGGCAGGTGAGTGAGCCCAGCAGGAATGAAACCAAAGCCCAGCTTCGGCTGCCCTCAGGATGCCAGAAAGAGGAAAGAACAAAGGAAAATGGACATGAGAGAGAACACGAGAGAGCTGGAGAGAGCAAAAGAGAGAGAGCGCGGGCAAGCATATAGGGGCTGTAGGGCTACTGTGGGTGGCTAGGACAGGAGGCAGGGGATGGTCTTGAAGGTCAGAACAGAGCCATCACAGGGCCCAGGGCCTGCCTCACTCAAAAGAGGCTAGAATCCCCCCACCCCACCCCGCACCCCGGCATCTCCTGGGTTCTCGACAGTGAGCAGTCTAAGTATGGGTGTGACAAGCATAGAGCATGGGGTTTCTCAGGGCTCCTAGAGAACGGAGGTCCCCAGGAAGGCAGGGACCAGACACTCATGAAGACCAGAGCATAAATCAGTCCTTTTATCTCTTTCGTCTCAGTTCTTTGATGGTTCTCTTAATTTCCCTTTAATGTCTCAGTCTAAGGCCTTTTGAAAATCCTGGCCCAGCTCCTCTATGCAGAATGAAAAGACAAGGAAGGGATGGGGAAGCGGGGAATCAGAATCCCTGGAAGCAACTGGTCTGATTGGATATCGGGCTGGGCTGTCACTGTCACCCCACCTGGACATGATGGAGGGCCGGGGTTGCTGCTGCTGCCTTATTTCGATGTGAGATGGCCCCTTACCGCATCTCAGCTGCCTGGTGTTGCAGGAGAATAGGATTCCCTGCCTTAAACACTGCCAAAATGCATACCAGGTTTGCATGGGCCCCCAGGCTGAGCTGTGACCTCCTCATGGAGCCCCTGTCCAGCAGCTCTCTTGGCTCCCTGGCCTCAAGCCCCTTAGTATGAAACAAGCCCTTAACTGCTTCAGAAAGAACTGCAAAGAAAATGTTAGGCTGCGTGGTGGCGCACACCTTTAATCCCAGCACTCGGGAGGCAGAGGCAGGAGGATCTCTGTGAGTTCAAGGCCAGCTTGGTCTACAGAGCGAGTTCCAGGACAGCCAGGGCTACGCAAAGAAACCCTGTCTGGGGGCGGGGGGAATCTTGGTACTGATGAGGGCACTGAAGTACAGAGAGGAGTAGCAGCTACCCTGCTCACACAGCCCCTTGACTCTGGCGTTGTCTCTGGATCCCTACTGCCCTGTGTCACTAATAGGAGCTACAAGAAGGGGTGGAGCCTTTGCCTCAGCCCAAGTAACTCAGGAGAAAAAGCTGTGGCAGCGGATGGCAGAGCTGCTTCCTGAATGGACACAGGAAAAACAGCAGCATCTCTCTTCACAGGTGCCAGACAATGGAATTGTGGCCAGACAGCCAGCCGGTTGCTAAATGTGGATCGGACTGTCTTCTGTTAACCCTTCTGTGCCCAAGCACTGGGAGTGGGTTGTTCTCTGTTTCTCCTCCTTCAAGACGACTAAAACCTAGCTGTACTATGCTGAGAAGGGGAGCGGGCTTCCTTGACACTTGGTCTCAAGGATCAGGGTGACAAAGTGTCAGCAACCAGCTAGGCAGGTGATAACACCCCTGACATTCCACATTCTTGCTGAACCCGAGGCTGGAGTTGTATAGTCTTAAGTCAAAAGGAAAAGCAGAGGATAGAGGGAAAACAGACAGTGGACTTCAAGACAGTAGGCTGCAGGGTACAGGAAGTAATAACATGGCAGAGACATCAAGCCAGGAAAAAAAAAAAAATATCAGGAATTATGCCAGATGGCCAAAGGTTTGTGGGTCATGGAGAAATCAGGCCACAGTGGAGGGTGAAATCAGACTTCAGAACAGAGCAAAGTCATCTATGATTCCGAAGGAAAGGAACTGCGACTCCCAGGCAAATCAGGCTGGTTCACCCTGGCCGCCGCCTCCCCGCCCCCTCCACGCGCAGGGGCCCAGCCTCACTTGAGCTGCTGAGTAATGAGCTCCTCGTCGTTGAGGTAACGCAACCGCTCCTCCTCCACCAGGGTGCGCTGCCGCTGCAGCGGGTCCTCCTGCCGCCTCGCCGCCTCAGACACGCGCATGCTCAGCTCCGCCTCGGTGCGCTTCAGCAAGGCGCGTACCGACTCTTGGTTCTGGAGCTGTGGGACGCAAGGATGTCCGCGTGGGCAAGGATGCACGCGTGGACTGGGTGGGAGGAGGATTCATGATGCTTGGATAGGGTGAGCAGAATGCAGAGATCCGGACCGAGGATGATAGCTCATGGAGAGGGCAGTTATGGGTTTCGCTCAAGTTAGAGCGGCATGGCATGGCTATGGCTCTCGGCCGTGAGCAGCAGTGAAGGGCGGGACAGCTGGGAGCAGAGATCAAGATTAATATTCTGGAGAAGTATAGGGGCAGGAGTACGCGATGAAAATTTGTGTGGTCAAGGGGTGACACTAGGTACTGCCCCCATGACAGTGTGACTGTATAGCTATGGCCTAAAGTAGCCCTGAGACAGGGCCTGAGATGAAGGACTCAAACTCTGTGGTTGGTAAGGTCTGTTGCTGTGGCTGGGACTACAGATGAAGGTCCAATTCCGAGCCCAAATGACATGAGTAGGTGAGATCTTACCCGTGGCCCAGATGGCAGCTCTCTGCCTCCACCTACCCCCTCCCGCCCCCCCTCCCCCGCCTGTCTCTGCTCATTATCCTCACCTGACAAGCCCTGAGCCCCTCTTGAGGAGCCGGCACAGTGATGCCAGGCTCCTGACAGGTGGGACCATCTGCCAGGCAGGACAGGAAGGGGGAGCTGAGGGGCCTTGGAGAATATGGATGCAGGGCTGAAGGAACTGGGACAGCCTCAAGGGATAGCACATGGGGGAGGGGTGGGCTTAGGCTCAGGGAGGGAGAAGGGAACTGGGGGGGGGTCAGTGAAGGGTCGGGGCTTGGTAGAGGGCCCATGTTAATGAGGAAGTGGAAACTAGAAAGGGAAGAGAAAGGGCCCGAAGAAAGGCCACTGAGCAATGAGGGATTCCACCAGAACTGGATGGTGGAGAAAGGTGGGGCAGGGCTTGAGGAGGAGTTACAGCCAGTGAGGTGGGGTGGGGTTACCTGGAGCTTGCGCAATTGCTGAAGCTGGCCTCGAAGGTCACTGGCGCTGTTCTGTAGGCCACGCAAGTGCAGCTGCATCTGCAGGCGGCTGACAGCAGTGGGCTGCCCTGCAGGGGTGCTGCTGGCTGAGGGTGGGGGAGGGCCTGACACCGGAGTAGCCCCGCTGCTCCGACTGCCTGACCCACACGCTGCTGAGAGGGACCAGAAGGATGTGCCATAAGGAAAGCAGGGCAAAAAGCTAGGGAGGGGAAGGAGCCGTCCTCCCCGCTTGTGGCCCCACACCCACCCAGAGGCACATGGCTATGACTGTCTGCCCTTAGTGGTGGCAAATCCTAGCAGGAGTACAGTGCCTGGGCGAAGTAAGATGACTATTCACTACTTATTTATCTCTGGAAAACCCCATGATGCCGCTACTAGTAGAGCTAGTCCAGTTTAAAGGTTAGGAAACAAATCCTAAGACTCAGAGAGGAAGAGAAGGGTCACTCACGTGCTGAGGGGGTGGCTGCCCCGTTGGAGCCTTCAATCTTCTCGCTGTGGTGGGGGGGAAAAGAGAATTGTCATGGGAGCTTGGGCTGGCCTCAGACCATCAAAGCTGAACAGGACCTTAAATGTCACCACCCCAGTTCTCTGATCTCAGGATAGAGCCACAGAAAAGAAAGGGGAATCACTCGGAGTCACACTGTAGACGAAGGCAGAACCGAGTCCAGAACTTTCAGTTTAGCTCCTTGCCCTCGTCGCTGCCCCAAGCCCAGGCCCTGACGTCAGTGTTGGGGGAGGGGCTCTCTCACCTTGGGGTCTCAGGCTCTGAACCTCGCAGCAGGGCGCTCTGCACCAGCCCCGTGAGGCTGGCAATCTGCTTCTCCATGGCTTCCATGCGCTCCCTGGGGAGGAAGGTGGCTCTGAGCAAGCGCTCCTGCGAGGTTGTAGTCCCTCCTGCCCACCCCACACCGCACTTCTAAGATTAGCAGCCAGATGACAGACGGCTGTCACACAGAACAGGGACCCAAAGCCACGGATCGAGCTGCTAGCTCTCCACTCCCTCTCTCACCACTGCCACTCTGATGCAGGAGGATTGCCGAGAGTTTGAGTAGCCTGGGCTACATAGCAAGACACTGTCTCAAGAACACAAAACATAAAATACAAAAAGCCTGACGCCTCCCCATCCCGAGCCTGCTCCAGTGGATTTCAGCTGGGCCCCGTGCTGGACAGCTCTCACTGTCCGGGCACTAAAAGGGCTGAGTCAGCAGCACTCCATTTTACCTCCGGGTAAACCGAGGCTTGGGGGGATAAATACAGTCATCACTTGAGGCGCCACTCATCCATCCAATGTCCACCCTGTCACATTGAAGATTCTCTGGCCATCCCCTGTGATCTAAGCCCAGAGAGAACCTGCCACTTTCTGCGATGCCTCCTTCTTCTATGTCCCCTCACCTGGTTTCTGTGTCCTTGGCTGGCACCGGCGGCCCAAACCCTACTAGGGAGCGCTCCCCAGGTCCAGGGAAGAGCTCAGAAGGTGGTGCTCCAGCCGTCGAGGCGCTCCCGGTGCTGCGAGCCTTGCCTCCAGGACTCTCGGCAAAGACCGACGAGGAGCCAGAGTCTTTGCGGAAGGACTGACGCACTGGAGAGCCACGACTGGGCGGCCCCGAGTAGGGGCTGTGCGGGGGTGGGGGTCCCCCAGAGGGCGCAGACACATCGGACAGCTTCTGCGGGGACGAAGGCGGCAGGCGGAAGCCATAACCATCGCCGTAGAGCGGACCACCGGCGCCTGTCTTGTACAGCGAGTCCTCCAGGTCGGACTGCAGCGCGGCGGCAGAGTAGGTGCTGAGCGAGCGCACTGAGCCCCGCTTGTACAAGCCGCCTGCGCCTGGATATGCGAACGGGTCCCCCGCCGCGGCGGCCAGGCTCAGGCGGCCCTCGTGCAGGAGCCCGTAGGGATCGGCGTAGAGACCTTCGCCCTTTACCAGCACCATGCCGCCCGCCTTGCCGGCCAGGTCCTCGTCCGGCTTCACATCGCGTCGCTCCAGGATGGCGCTAGGGCTGGGACTCACGCCCTGGCTGGCTGGAGCACCTCCCAGCCGCTCAGCCGGGTGGTGCACTGGACTGCCTGCGTAAGAGGGAGGGCGGCCCCCAGCGTAGGAGAGGCGTGAGCGCGAGGGAGAGCCCGATGGCAGTCCCGACGGCAGCCCCGACGGCAGCCCCGATGGGAGCCCTGGAGGTGGTGAGCTAGATGCTAGGTGCGATGCGGGTGACAGGTTGTTGAGGCGCCGCGTGGGCGACGACTCCCGCGACGCGTACACCATCTCTCTCTGCGCAGAAAACAGCCCCAAAAGCCCATGGAGTTGGTAACAAAGAGTCTTTCCCCTGGTTTGAGGAGCCAGCATCTCACCCCCTCCCCCAACCAGGCTTGGGAAGCCCCCCTCCCTACTGCATCCTGGGCCCCTTGCACATCAGTACTCCCAGCATGGGGGTAAACAGGCAGATGGAAAGACATGAGAAAGGCAACTCTCAGTCTGTTCTTGATGAGGACCAGGAAGGAGAAGAGAAAACGGAGTGGTTGGGAGAGAGGCCTTACAATATCTAAAGCCCTTTAGAGAAATCTTGGGTAGACAGTGGGGAAGGTAGCAGGTGAGCCGGCGGTACTTCCATAGCCTCACAACTAATTAGGACTAAGTTCCCAACTCCAAAACCGTCCTAGTTCTACCTAGATTCCACCTGTCCAATCTCACCAGTGCCCTGGGTACTCCCAGCCATACCCGGAGGTCCCCGTTGGTGAGATGTGAGCCAGGAAAAGCAGCATACAGTGGCTCCTTCCTATAGATCTTGATAATACTGCGGTCCTGAATGTCCCTGTCAGGAAGAAAGAAGGGCAGAGGCTCACCATGTGCTCCCTCTAGCGGTGCACAATGAGGAGAGGGGTCAACAGCTACTTCAGGCAGACGAGAGGGCCCTGAAATCAAAATCCTTTCCCGCTTTCCTATTTTCAGTGACTCCAGGTGCCTCGGGATGCCTGCCACCAGCAAGCAATCTCGAGTGTGCAACACTCACACAGAAGGCGGGAAGGAGAGTCAGGGTGGTTTTCCATAGCTTCCTGCCAGTGGGAACCCACAGGACTGGATGATTTAGCAGAGAGGGCGGTGTGAGGGCTTAGGGAGGGAAGGAAAAGGATGGAAACGGGTGCTTGATGATCTAGGGAAGGGCCACCAGATGTCCAGCACTCTTCAGAGAAGTGTGGGGAAGTCAACCCAACCCCTGGGGCCAAGCCCACCGGACGTCCTCCAGCTCGTAGAAGATGTTCCGAGCTTCGTCTTTGATGAGGATGGCGGTGTTGGGCGATTTAAGCATGCCCATGGTGAGCTTCTGCGGGAACATGTGCGCGATGAGTGCGTGCAGCGTGTCCAGACTGCTGACCTCATGGGTGATATGTACGCGTCGCGTCTCCTCCCCGAACTGCAGGAACAGGACCCCTGCGAAGGAGACACAGCCCTCAGGGTCACTGCCTCTATCAGCCCAACTCGCGCCTGGGGAGTGTGGTGAGCCCTCGGGAGCACCATCAGTCCCACAGCGGCAAGGTCTGAGGCCAGAGGCTGCCCCTGAGTGCAAGTGCACCCACGCCGTGCTCCTCATGCCGCCGGTTTGCAAGCACCCACCGGACCCCAGGCAGCTGGAGTGTGGACGCGGAAATGGGGTTAGGGGCTGGAGCTGGTGGGGCAGAATCTGAAAGAAAGTTGGGGAGGGTGGCGAGAACGCCGGGAGAAAAAAATGGGAAAAGCCTAGTAGAAAGAGAAAAGGGTTGGACAGAGAGGAGGCTGAGAGAGCTTAAGGGTCAGCAGAGTATGCTAAAGTCTAGCAGAGGAGAAAGAGCGCCGAGGACAGCAAGGATTTCGAGGAGGTGACCACTGCTAGAGGAGGGAGTGGCAGGATTTGGAGTAGCGAAGGGCGGGAGAAGTCGTAGGGAGGAGCTGTGGCAGGGCCCGAAGACGAGCAGGCTGGGCAGTACCTGGTGAGCGCAGCTTGGTCTGGCTGGCAGAGCGGGAGAGAGGCAAGCTCTGTCGGAAGCGGTTCATCCTGCTGAAGCCCAGGGGCAGCTCGGCCTCGGACATGGTCTCCAGCGACTCAGCCGAGGCGTAGGACAGCTTGGCTGCCTGGTCTGCCAGCCCTGGCTGGGCTCCCTGAGTATGGCGCGAGCTGCGGGTCTGCAGGGATAGGGCAGGGCGAGAGGCACCAAGCATGAGCCCCGACCCCCCTCCCTTGCTCTGCCACAGCCTCCATCTGGGCCACAGAGCTCGGGCCAGCCAGCAACACACACACATTTAAAGGAAGGTCTCCTATGTTCCAGACTCGCTGGGCTGTAGAAAAGATCTCCCAACTCTCGAAGGCCTTGGCTTCCCAGGGACACCTCAGGTAGGTAGTGGGCAAAAGACTCAGGCACCCTGGGAAGCCATACAACCATCTGAGTTGGACCCTTGGGCACGCCTGCTATTTTAAGCCTCCAACGAACAACAACAACAACACAAATTTGTCACCGAGGTGAGCAGCAGAATTGTTGAGCAAATTGGAGCATTAGTTCCAGACATTAATTAAGCGGCGGGTGTGTGAGCGGCGGATTTATTCTTCATGGAGTTCAGGGGGCTTGGGGGAGCAGAGAGAAAGCAAAGAAAATGAGGGACCCCAGGCTTTCAGCACTGAGAGGTGTGCATGTCTAGAGTTCTTGACTTAGAGGATTTTGTAACTGGGGAGGATTTCCCAAACCCTTGAGTCAACTGAAACACAATGTAAACTGTACACTCAATGTTCATGCAAAGCCAGGTGTGACACACAGAAGTGTACTGTGCAGGCTCTGCCCCTCCCTGGGACACAAGCACTGTCACACAGCCTAGTTGGCCTCCCCAACCCCTTCCCTAAAGCTTTAACTGAGAGTGATCTACAGCTGAGATGGGGGAGGATGTCACCATAGCTCAGTGAATCTCTAGGTTCGATTCCTAGTACCCCTCCCCCAAATAAAGACCCGGGAGCTGTACTGGAAGGATGCCACAAGATGGCCTGACCTGGGAGGGAGTGTCCCTCCTTATTTCAATTGTCTTTCTAGATCTTACTTCTGGCTGCTACCCAGGGCCACAACCTCTGCCTTTCTGCCCTAGTTCCCCACACTAACCCTGGCTACCATATAGACTCGCAGTGGTTTAAAATGCAGTGGTTTAAAATGTTACTCTTTTCCGAGAAGGAGTCTTACAATGTAGCCCTGGCTACCTGGATCTGGCTAAGTAGACCAGACTGGCCTTGAACTCACAGAGAGATCCACTTGCCTCTGCCTCCTGAGTGCTGGGATTAAAGGCATTCTCAACCATGCTCAGCTCTCATTTAAATATTTAAAGGAGTCAGATAACGAACCAAATCTACACCATTCTGTGGTATGGGCATTATACCTACAAATATAAGCTTACTGCGTGACAAAAATTACACATGTCCAACTGTACTCTTATTTTCCTTCTTTCTTTTTAATAGTATGCTGGTTCATGCCTATAATCCCAGCACAGAAAAGGCTGAGACAGGAGAACAGCCATGAGTTTGAGGCTATCCTGGGTTATACTGAGACCTTATTTGAAAACAAACATAAATAAACTTATTTTTAACACTTAAGTCACACAGATCACTTGAAACCATCAACATTACAATCTCAGGGCTGAGAGATCTTTTCCCCTAGTTTTTTTAAGACTCAGAGAATTGCCTGCCTCTGCCTCCCAAGTTCTGGGATTAAGGGTATGCATCACCACTGCCCAGTTTGAGAGAGCTTTACTTATTTTATTCCTTTATGAAACTGAATTTTAAACAACTGGAATATATCATTTATACAACTAAAAAGACAATGGCAAAGGCATCTCTCTTATTTTGTTTTGTGTTTTGACACAGTCTCACTGTGTAGCCAGGACTGGCCTATCAAGTACTTGATATATAGGCCAGGTTGACCTCAAACTTGTGTCCATCCTCCTGTTTCTGTCCAACCCTCCTAATAAACATCTCTAAAAAAGAATAATTTATTCTCCTGTTCAGTCCCTTCTTCCCCCAAATCCTGATTATCCCCTAATTAATCTTGCCTTCCTATTAAAGCCAGTTTAATGTTGCATCTAATTAGCAATCTCAGAAAGGGAGAGCATCTTCCAACAAGCAGTGTGCCCAGCTCCTCAAAGTGGCCTTGAAAACTCGAGGACATGGAAAATCCGACTTGGAGGTCACCAAGGGGCTTCCAGCCTCAAACACGATATCTTGACCAGCAGGGAGGAATATGGTCTTGGGAGGAAGGAGGTAGTGTATGAACTAGGCCTCCTTGGGAGATTCCCATGTCCAGACTTCAGATCTAGGCTGACCAACAGTGACATCTTCCCTCCCATCTTCACTCCCAGAGAAGCCACTGCAGTGGGCAACCTATGCAGAAGTGAGGGAGTCTGAACCAAGCTGGTGGGCATGGGGTTGCCAGGCAACTGAAAGGTCAGTGGTTGCCAAGCTGGGGTCGATGAGAAGCTACAGAATGAAGCAGCTGGCAGAGATGAAGAATAGGGATGGTCACTGGGTCAGAGTGGGGGGAAGAATTGAGAAGTCTGGAAGAGGATGGACTGAACAACATCAAGAGGGCAGGGTCCTAGAGATGGCTGGCCACAAAAATAGGAACCCTAGGGGAAAAAGGATAACCACTTCCCTTCCCCTGCCTGCTCCTGCCTCCACCCTAGCCCCATGGGCACCTTTCCATTCTTTCTAACTTTATAGAAAATCCTAGGCCAGGTGGTGGTGCACACCTTTAATCCCAGCACTCGGGAGACAGAAGAAGGTGGATCTCTGAGTTTGAGGCCAGCCTGGTCTACAGAGTGAGTTCCAGGACAGCCTGGGCTACACAGAGAAACCTTGGGGGGGGTGATAAGGAGAAGGAAAGTCTATTAACACTTCTTTCTGCTCCCTGGCCTCTATCAAACAAAGGAAATAAAACATCTACGAGCCACTAACAGGCATGTCCAACTTTTGACATGGTATCTACCAAATTCACAGTTGAGAACTGAACAAAAGTTCCCAAAAAAATTACAAAATAAATCTTATAATGTTTTAAATAAGCTCATGATTTTGTCTTTGACCCAACTAACAGTCACATATGAGCTTCTGGTTAGATGAGCTGGCTAAGGGAGATGGCAAGAAAAAGAAAAAGAAACAGGAATTCAAACAGAACTTGAATACAGGATGGGGCTGCCAAGGTAGCAGTGAGCTCAACCACTGGACCTGTTCCACCAAGAAGCTAATAAGACCTTGCCTGAGTCCAGGCAGAAAGAGTCACTGCCAAGACAGTCAAACCAAGATCTGGGCTCTCCCAACAGCTCTCTACAGACTTGGGCAGAAGCACAAATCCTCTTTCCAGGACCCACGGGCCCTTAATCTGAATCTCTGTGAGTAGAAGCCTGGGACTCAAGACTTCCTATAAAACCCTAAGGCAACTGTAGCACCCTGACATTGGAATCAAGTCAGCACCCATGACTCCAACACTGATAAAGTCAGCTACCAGGAAAAGCACAAACTGCCTTGGACATGCATTTTTGTTGTCTCTTCAATCTTTCAACAGCTTAGTCAGCCCTGATGGCTGATGCCTGTAATCCAGCAATTTAGGAGGCTGAAGCAGGAGGATCACAAATTCAAGACCTGCCGGAGCTACAGAGATAGCCTGGAACTCAGTGACACACTGTCTCAAAATAAAAGGTAAGAAAGGGTTGGGATGCTTGGTATGGTGGCACACACCTTTATACCTAACACTAATGGAAGAGGCAGGTGGCTCTTTGTGAGTTTAAGGCCAGCCTGGCCTACATAACCTATTCCAGACCAGTCAGGGAAACATCTCAAAAACAATATCACCCTTGAGTTTCCTGCTCAAGGGCTGGGTTTAATCCCCACAAGGCAGGTGGGGGGCCCCCTCTATGATAGAGACACTGTTCCCTCTCCAAAGGAGAAAACAAGGCCCAGAGAGGACTGACCGTAAGTTACTGCTGGGTCACTGAGAATTCGCCACCAGGCAGACTGACAGGCAAATACAGGATCCCATGATACTCACAGGGAAAAAAATTTGCGCACAAGGGACCGGGTGAGTCTGGGTGATAGATAGCCTGCTACCCTTTCATAATGTCTGAGGTTCCAGAGACCACAGATCTACACAATAAACCACAACAGACCTTGTCTCACCCAGCTCTGGGTGTGGGGGCCAAGGAAGATGCAGGGCATGCCTGAGGTTGCTCCCCCAGGGGCACCATGGCACCCTGGAAGTCGGGAGAAAGCATTTCAGGTCTCAGTGACACAAACTGCTCGGAGGAAGTAGGAAGGTATCCACTCCCCAGGCCTGCCCTCCCCACCCCAGGTGAATAAATTTAAGGGTACAGGGCAAATGTGCTGTCTGGTCCTAACATGGTGGGGAATAAGAAAGGCAGTCATGAGGCCTTCCTTTGAGGGACAAAGTGAGTTAAGGCTCCAGGGACCACAAGGAACTCATGCATTCAGGTCTCTGCCTCTGTCAGCCAACTCTCTAGGCTGAGGAGTGTCAGGAACCCTTCTCCTTCTAAAACACCCCTAGCAGGCTGGGGTAGCTGAGGACTTGAACATCTATCTCTAGGCCAAACCTCCAGCAGCAGTGACAGAAACTCCCACTCTGGATCCATAAGGCCCTGGCAGACAAACCCAGACTCTCCCCCAAGCAGCAGCCTTAGCCGGCAGCCCCAGGCCCACCGCCCGCAAAGGAGGGGGCCCCTGCAGATGCACACCCCAGTGCAAAGCATGTGCAAGGCAGAGGCGGGGAGGGGAGGGCAGGACATGCAGTTGTCACAGACGCAGAAGCATCTCGCACTGACCTTGAAACTCCAGTAGTTTGGTTGCTAATGGGAATAAGAGAAGAGATGGTTATGAAGGGGCTGCCAGGAGGGGACAGGGACAGGACAGAGACTCTCAATACGAAACCCTGGGTCACAGGCCTCCACCCCTCTAGGGAACAGACAGCAGGCAACGCCTGTGCCTCTCAATTCTCTCCTGAGGCTAGAACATTCTCAGTTCACTAAGAATGGGCAGGTTCCAGGTCTGCTGGTGGGGAGCAGGACAGTCCAGATGTTTTAAGTGTCTTCCTAGGCATAGTAATTGACCTCAGAGAGCTACAGTTAATGAAAAGCACAGATGACTATGAGACAGTCAAAGACTTGAGGGGAGGGGAGTGATAAATCTGGGCTGTGGGGTCAGAGAGAGGTTGGGTAAAATGTCCCAGAAAAGATGGCATTCCAGCTTGGTTGGGAAAGTGAAGAGCTGGAGACAGGAGGGAGAAGGTGTGCTGAGCAGGACTACATAAGGGTTAAGTGGGTCCCCTGGAGCAGGCAGGAGGAGTGGGAAGAAGCAGATGGAAGTGAGGGGTCAAGTATGGGGGCTAGATACTGGCCAGTCTTCCATGGGAGTTACAGCTACAGATCAAAGTACAGAAAACATAGGGATGAAGTCGAGAAAAGGGAATAGGACCCCAGCAGGGCTAAGGGCAGGGAGTGGTGGTGGCTGGGACCAAAGCCAGAGCAGGCAGGCCTGTGTGCCAGGATGTGCAAGGATTGTGGAGAAAAGTGGCCCATTGCCAGCGACCTCTGGCATTGGGCAGTGGATGGGAGCTTGAGCAGCTCTTGGAGCTACAGAGACAGTGGAGAAGAATTGTAAGGGGGCTGGAGGCTTCTCCTCACTCACAGTAACCCAGGGTCGCCTGCCCTCCCCAGAGACCAGAAGGTCCTTCCAGATGGTTAGCACCAAGGAAAGTTAGCAACAAGGAAAGGACAGCCCTGAAGGCAGGCTGGTTCTTGGCAAAGCTGAGGGTACCCTGCTGACCGGTGCCAGCCTCAGCAGGACAGAGGCAGCAGATGGCCTGGCCCTAGGGTGCCTGGCACGAGCAGACAAGATTCCCCAGGCCTCGGAGCCAATGGTAGAGGAAAGGGACCTTGAGAGTTCCTGCTGGGAGAACACCATGCTGTGGTGCCCCGTGCCCCCTGGATGTGTTGGGAGCAGGGAAGAACTGGGATGGGGCTGAGGATGGCTACTGCTAGGTACAGACTTTAGAGTGACAGTTCTTTAGGGTAGGGATGATGCCAACCTGGATCTGGAATAAGGTTTATCTGTCACCACCCTACACACATACCTGATCCACAACCCCCATCTCTTCCAAATTACTGGATCCAAAAGATGAAAAGTGGCCACACTGCAGGCAGCCAAAGGGTCAGCAAAGGCTGTATGGACACAGGGTACCCCTGAAGTGGGAAGGGATGCCCCCAGGCATCACAGGGAGGGACAAAGCTTAGACTTGAGCCACAGCTTCTGTGACCTTGGATAGAAGGGGAAGTGTGGAGAGTAGATTCATAGGAGACATCAGAGCCAGGCTGAGGACTTGGAGAGGTCTGCGTTGAAAGTCATGTCTGCGGACCAGGAGTGATAGACAGCCCTACAGAGAAAGCCTCACACTCCCTTCCCACCCCACAGTGGGCACAGGAGCCACCCAGAGCTCCCAGCAACGTGCACACTGTTCCTGCAGTGAGCTGGTAGACTCAAGACACATCCTTGGGTAGACAAAGATGTCACAAACATGCCCAGAACAACAAACACACCCACCCACCAAAGTGCACAGCCGCTAAGGGAAGCCATGAGAAATGATCCTGGAAACAGCAACTCGGAGACATCCACACAGAGACCACACAGACCCCAATGTGCTCCCAAGGACCCCAGCTAGCACTAGGCCCAGTCAAAGACACATGCTAATAAGGCCAGTCACACCCCTCTCGGCATAACACAGAGCCATAGAGGCATGGATACCCACTCATAGGCACAAACACTAGCTACAGAAATATATACAAAATAGTACACAAGGGCCAGCAAGACAGCTCAGTGGGTAAAGGTGCTTGCTGCCAAACCTGATGATCTAAGTTCGCTACCTGGAGCCCACATGGTAGAATGGAGAACCAATCCCCCTGTCCTCTGACTTCCATGCACATATACCATGGCAATGATATGCCCCCCTCATACACACATACTAAATAAATGTAATTTTTTATCAGAGCAATGTATGAAGTTATAGAGACTTAGAGAAAATGTCCTTTCTCTGCTCCCCTCTACTAGCTGGGTCAGGACTTGTGACACCTTTAGTCAGTATTCAGTGGCTATGATGACACCATCATTGTGTGCCAGGGAGTTAATTTCCTGAACCAAGAGCCATAAAAGTTGCCCATCCCTAAGCCTCTATACACCCACCAGGCAGTACCTGGAAGGCTTGGGTCATGAACAAGCCCAAGGGGATAACAGGGTGTTTGGTTGTACCAGTGTCTGGGAAAGATCATCCTAGCTCTGGGAAGTGTGCAGGTGGAAGATAAGCTATTTTTGTGTTTGGGGGACTTGGCTGGACTGATGATGACACTGCCACCCAGTCCTATAACTCGCAGCTCTGAATGTCAGAGTGCTCAGGCGAGTGCCACCTCCTTCCTTGGTCCTCTCTTCAAATAGGAAAAGCATCCTCTTAGCTGGCCCCAGCAGGAACCAGGTCTCCCAGCAACTCTATCCTGGGAAGGGAAAATTGCAGTGGGAAGAAGCCCCTGGGAGATGGGCCATCATCCACCCTTCCAGATGTTAACCCACAGGACCATCCCTGATGATAGAAAGCAAGGCTCCTCCTCTGTTGTGCAAGGGGGACACCTCTGGTGCGCACCCTGACCCCCTCACTAGTTGTAGATTCCTCAGTCTGTGCCCAGTATGGTACCTGGTATGTAGCAATGCCCTCAACAAATCTGCGTCAATGAATAAATGCCAATCAAGTAAAGCAGGCAAGGCAAGGAGAGAGGGGGTAGTTCTAAACACTAGGCCTGGCTCCACTCCCAGCCCCCAAAGTTCTGAGCCATTTTCCTGAGAATAACACAGGTCTAAAAAACCCTGAGCTGAGCATGGTGGTGCATGCCTTTAATCCCAGCACAGAGGCAGGTGGATCTCTGGGAGTTCGAGGCCTACCTGCAGCGTTCCCAGGCAGCCAGAGCTACATAATAGAGATCCTGTCTCAAAAATAAGCAAGCAAGCAAACAAACAAACAAATAAATAAGGCAAGGACAGGACCAGGTCCCTCTTCTCTTGGCTCAACAAAAACCTCACCAAAGCCAAAACATCTACCCTACGTGCAGGGACAGCTACCCTTCCCAAAACTCGGGCACTGTGAAAGTAGGGCTCAGCAGGAGAGAGGCTAGCAGGACCCGCCGCTGGTGGTGAAGGCTTGCCAGAGCTGGGGCAAAAACAAGAGCCAACCATCCCTGAGGAACAAGCTTTCAGCCATGGGGGAGGGGACTTCCCCCAGGGAGCCCAGGAAGTAAGTTACCTCCCCCAGACTGGAGGAAACAGCTTTTTCCCTCTAGGGCTGAGGAGTTAACTCGTCCTCATCACCTCTCGAGTAGTTTAGTCTTGGGGTTCTCTTCCCCTACAAATGGCCTTCGTCCATCCACTCCATCCCTGGGGGGGAGGGGGGAGAACGGATCCCAATCCGGACCTTACCACTGCTCCTTCCCCTACCCCTGGGCAGACATACTGGGGTAGGCTAGGTGTCCATATGACCCCTCCTTGACCTCGGGCCTCAAAGGAGCATCCTCCAGGGAGGAAGGCAACCCACGAGTCGCACCCCCTTCCTTAATCTACAGACTGGCGTACACACCCACCTCCCAACTCCTGTAAATCCAAGTCCAGCTCCCAATCTAGGGCTACGCCACGGGCCTGGTTGGCCGCCAGCCTGCAACGGCCCTTCCCTAAGGGTTTGCAGCGACAGCAGCGGCTGGGAGCCCTGCGGAGGCTGAGTGTGCGAGGAGGGGGTGCGTTGCGGGAACCGCACGGCGCCCTGGGCCGGGGCGCACCCAGGGAAGGTCATGACTTTCCGAGGTTGGGGGAGGGGGGCGATGCCGCATTTGGGGGCGGGGGCCGACCCACGTGGAAGGCACCTGCTGCGGTGGGTTAAGGGAGGGGGCGTTTCTCCGAGATCGGGAACCCGCTGCAGCCGCACGCCCGCACCCCTAGACCAATCCTCCGACCCATGGATCGGGACTCGATCTCCAGGTCCCCGCCCCCCCGCCGAACCTCACGCGGCTACCTAGTCCCCCAAAGCCGCTCGCCCTTACCTGCGGCCACAGGTGCACCCGCGAAGCCCGGTCCGGCGTCGGGCGGGGGAGGGAGAACCGCCTGCTATTCCCACCCGCGCAGGCTCTCCCCTCCCCCGGCCGCCTCCGCAGCCGCCGCCGGTGCCCTTTGCTGCAGTGCGAGAGCCACAGCCGCCGAGCCGGCCCGGGCCCCGGTCGCCCCGGTAACCGCGACTCCACCTGGCGCCGCGCGTTGCGCTGCCGTGCGCATCCCCTCTCGGCCCCCTCCCGCGGCGCGGCCCCGCCAGCGCAGCCCCGCCGAAGAGCAGAGGAGGCTGGTGGCTACGTCGCCGCGGTCACCCGATACGCCGGCCTGCCGCCCGGGACTCGGGTTGCAGCAGAAAGAAGGGAGTTTAGACAGCCTAGTGGAAGCGCGGGGGGAGGGGCTGTGGCTTGGTTTAACCTCTGGTCCCTACCCAGGATCCTCTTCACTGTACCCATCCCCAAAGGTCTTAGTTACCCCCACCTTCTCGGCCCTTAGCCTCCTCTCTCGGCAGCGCCCTTTTGCCCCTTTAATCCTTCCATGACTTAATCCCGACTCTGTCGGGGAGGTCTAGGATTGCTTAAATTTCCTTGTTGACGTCTAATCCTGCTTTGCTGTGTGTGATTCTGGGCCTTTGCTGGGCGTCTCTGTGCCTTAGCTTTACAAAACTGAACCTCAGATTCGTCCCTGATGGGGAAGAATGTGGTAAGCTGTATCAAGAAATGACAAGATTCTGTGTTTATTAAACTCTGGGACAAAGGCCCCACAAACTCTTCTTCTATCAGAGCAAAATTCCAGACATGCAGACAGACCTTAACTCCACTACAGGGCACAACTCAACCCATTCCTGCCCTTCACCCCAGCCCTATCCCTGCCCCACACTCCATCTAAGGGACCTGAGGCACCAAGGACCTGGCTGTCCATCCTGTGCCTGTCTTCAGTCCATCACTATCATTGGCCCACCCCTCTGCCTGTCTGTGGTCTCCACCACACATACATATGGCCACTCAGAACAACTCTCTCCCGCCTGTCATCCAGCCTTAAGAACATTCACATCCCTTGCTCCCTTGTTCCCCAGATTCAGCCAAAAGAGGGCTGAGAGCTGGAAAGAAGCAGCTCCATGCATGCCCTGAGACTGATTGAAGTCCAGTGTGCCAAGCTATTACTAGACAAGTTCCTCATCCCAAGCGCCCCCAGCTCCCAAGGTTCCTTGCATCCTAGCCAGTCACAATACCCTTTCATTTTATTTTCCTTTTGAAAGTCAAGCTTTGGCACACTCCAGTGCATGAGGAACCAGGCCTCTTCCATCCAGTAACCTGGCAGCTGCTGCCCTTCTACCTACAGCCACAAGCAGCAAGTCCTAAACTCCCTGGCCCCAGATACTGCTTGAACTCCTGCTCCTCCCCGGTCTGTTATTTCTCCCCAGGCAGTGCCCAGGCCTGAGCTGGGAGCATATGCTGAAATACATCCTTCTATCAGGGAGAAGGAGGCTCCCTGAGGAAGGGCGAAACAGGCTCAGAAGCAATGGCTAGACACCCTAGTTCTTTTTAAAAATTACAAGAGTGAGAGGAAGACACCACACAGAACTTCCTGGTGGTTAGATGGGGGAGGGGGCGCTACTCAGACTAGAAGAGTGTGGTATAGATAGGGTAATAAGATGAGAATAATAAGAGGCCTCTAAAAGCCCAAGAACAAGAACAGTCCTCTTGTTCAAAAGACAGAAACTGTTTGCTTTTAAAATCATGGCTATCCCTCAAAAAGTTTCCAGTTGGATTTTGGGGAGATGATGGTAAAGAATCAATCATGGGAGATGTGAATTCGGGGCATGGAAGTTTCCTAAAATGGAGGGTTCATACATAAGAGAAGGGGTGCAAAATAAAAAGTATCTACATCCCCCCCTACAAAAAAAGGTCCACCATGGATTTGGGGCGAGATGGGTGGCTCACCTGGGCAGGCTGGCCAGCCCCGGAGGGGGTGGAATCGCCGTGGAGGTGGGAACAGAGGGAGCTGAGGAGGCACACAGGGTCCACGGTCCAGCCGCCGACCTGTGTGTGTGAAGCAAGGGACACCCCATTAGGGGGAGCGGGCAGGAGCCGCTGGGGATGGGACAATGTAGGGGTAGATGCTCCCAGGGCAAGCCCTGGCATAGGGAAGAGGGTCAGAGTCATGGAGGGGGGCCTTCAGAGTGGCTCATACTGTGGGCCCCAAGTTTTTCTGCATGTCTGCCTTTCCTCTGACAGGACAGGGTTTCACCACCTGATAGAACCCTGATTTCCAGTTCCCAGCTGCCTCCTTGAACATTCCTTCTGCATTTGCCTTCTCTCTTCCCAAGGAGGTCACCTCTGACCTCCAGTGATGGGGATCACTGGGCAGGTGTGACCTCACTCCTGTAGTCTGTGCTATCTCTGCCAAAGTGACTTCCTCCTACCCGAGGCCACCAGACTTGACTTCTCTGGGACTGTTTTCTCCTGCCCCTGGCCCTCCATCAACCAACCATTCCTTCTCCAAAAGTTCATCTGGCCTCGAACAACTGCGCCATGTGCGGGTACTCCGCCCAATTGAAAGGGCCCTGGGGCCTCCTGCCACTGAGCCTCTGTGGGAGCAGATGGGGGCAGGGCAGATGAAAGGGATGAACCTGAGCATGACTGAGCTACCAGTCACTCCACAGTATTTGCTAATTACTTGCTGGGTATTCACCAGCCTCCTCCTACCAATTAATGTCCCATGCCAGACTCGGTGCCTCTTGAAGCTTTTTCTGCTAAACTTCCCAGCCAGGTGTGTAACCAGGCTGCCCAGTTCCTCACCACACCTTGTCTCCAAACCATTGAAACTGACCACCACTTCTTACCCCTGCCCAGACCCACCTAGACTTCTGAAGTATGGGCACGGCTTGCCCCACAGCCCCACCTCTGACCACCATACTCTGCTTTAATGGCCCTTGCATGCCCCTCTTCCACCTCTGTCTCTGTCTTGACTGCTCTCAGGTCCCACTGGAGTCCAGAAACGTATATAAGGTGTCCACTTAGCATGCTAGGAAGCTCCCTCCCAACCTCTCCCCTCACCCCCATTATTTTAACCCATTTCTGTTTCTTTGCCAGGGACTGACGTCTATCTTCCTGCCAGCCAAGGGTTTGATTTTAGGTTTTGAGACAGAACCTTACATAGCCCAGGGTGGTAGCTGAGGATGGCCATGAACGTCTGATTATCTTGCCTCCCCATCTAGAGTGATGGGATTACAGGCATGCACCACTACAGTGCTGGGAATCAAACACACAGCCTCCTGCTACCAGGACAGCACTTAGTACCAAGCCCTTAGCGGTATTCTTTTCTGTCATTCCATTATAGATCCAGAAAGCCAACAAGCCTTGCCTAGTCTCCCCCCCCCCCGTCCAAACTCCCCTTTTCTTTCTTTCCTCATTCCCTTACCTCAAGCCTCCCAACTGTCCATAACAGATATAACCCTACTGTCCTCTACCGACCCACCCCAATCTGTCGGTCTGGTACCACACGTCCCACTGCACCCCCCCCCCAGTCTTCTGTGCTGGCCAGAAGGACTTGTGTGCCATGCTCTGAATCAACTCAAGGCCATGCCGCTTCCCCAACACCTGCTCATACAGCGCCCTCTCCCTCCCTCCAAACCCTTTCACCCTGCTAGGCTTCATATAGATACCTCCTCCTCCAGGTACCCTTCCCGTAAGGCCTGTGTAACTGATAGCCCTGATCCTAAGACCCCTCCCAACTGGCCCGGACCCTCATACAATGTTTAATCTTCTCTTCCCCAGCTACGAGGTCAGGTCCTGATCCTCAGCAACCTGAATCCTGCTCCTAGGGGGACTCTGGAGCCAGGAAAATGCAAAAGCCAGACTAAAGTAGAGGATGTCTGGGGGCAAGCAAGGCCCCAGAAACATGGCAGGCAGTGTGTCCTTGATCTTGGCAAGAAGGGGGGCATGTCCCTCCTCTGATCCCTAGACACACTGAGTAGCAGCAGGAAAAGGAACCGTGGCCCAACACTGCTCAGTGTGACTGAAGGAGTGCTGGTGAGTGGACCACTGTACAGTCTCCCAGAGGGGACGATGCTAGGACTCCCAGAGATGGGACACAGCAGCCATAATGCCCCTTGCCAATGCAGGCCTAAACATAGAATACTAGTCCTGAGAGAAAGAATTCAGAGAAGACCTAGTGTTTGGGTGGAAAGGGGCATTAAGGAATCCAAGCTGGGGTAGGCTGAGAAGAGAAGCACCCTACCCCATGTATGTCCTGGGCCAGAGGCAGCCCCTCCCTAAGCCTTGCTGGGGGGCAGGAGAGAGCCAAGTCACACACAGGCTTCCAGCTCAGTCACACGGCCAGTCTATGTTCTCACAGTGACCCTAGTTCTGGGTTCTGTTCAGGCTAGGACTGGAGACAGGTTAGATTCAGCTTTCAGAAGCTCCCAAGCTTGAGAGAGATGCCACAGCCAAGCCTCAGCACCAAAAGTGTCCCTTCTCTTCTTCTCAATCATTCCTTTGGCCTCCAAGACACACCCTCCATCCCCCCCCCCACATTCTGCCCAAACCCACGCTCCAATGTGTCAAGCAGATGGCAGCGACCTGGAGTCTAAGCACCAACCCTTTCTCTACCAGGCTCCAGAAAAGACCAAAGAGAGCCACCGCCCAGGGGGCAAAACACCCCAACTCCAAGCTCCCAGCACTACCCCAGAGCCACAAAGTACTGGGTGATCCCTTACAGGCCCAGGGGCCTCTGCTCACACTCACCTGCTCCCGCATCCTGTCCTGCTGACCTCGCAGGGCCAGGGCATGCTGGGGGTACTTGCTCTTCAGGTGGTCCATGAATGCATCTCGTTTGCGGTCAGCATCCGCCTTCTGGAGACCGCTGAGCGCCTCCAGGCTCTGGGCAGCAATCACGGTGTGCCGCCGCTCGGAGGTATGCACCAGCCCCACATTGGAGAAGCGCCGGCCCCCGCTGCCCCCGCCGCCCCCACCCCCCAGGGTCCGGTACTCCCGAGGGTACTCGGCATCGTCGGCAGACAGCATGGGGGGGCTGCTCCGCTCCGGATCTGCGAGAGGGGGAGAGGATCTAGGGTCACCAGAATGTCGTGCCAAGGGGCTGCCCATCTCCCACGAGGATCTCTGTGGGGCAGGGCAGGGCCTGATAGGGCAGAGAGGTCTTTGAGAGAGATGAATGGGGGCAGAAGAGTAAATGAGGTAAGCCTAGAATTCCATGTTAGGGGAGAGGGTAGAGAGCAGGTCCTAGGTGCAGGTTGCTCTTTGGTCAGCTTTGGATCAAGCAGGCAATGTTGGGCAGGGGGACAGGGAGAGGTGAGGAGTATTGGAGGTGTCCCAGCCTCCTCTCTGACTACACACTTGGTCCCCTTCCTAAAGATAGGGAAAGAAGCTGCACTGTGCTCTAGAACATTCTCTAAGAGAGGCTGGAACCTTGAGCACCTTCTCCTATCCTGTACATTCAGGACTGTATCCTCCAGCTGGGGCTATGTAGGAACAGGGGCCAGTAAACCATAGGGGTGGGGTGGGGGCAAAGGTCAGTCACAGGGCTTCTTCCCAGGGATGGACTGAGGCCCAGAATCTGAGGCAGACAGACTCCCTTTCCCTCCCTCCCCAGAGACAGACAGATAGACAGACAGCAGAGGCTGGACACAGGGAGGACAGAGAGATGGACTGGGACAGACGTAAGAGAAAGCAGGCAGACAAAAAAGGTCCGCTCCCTCCTCCCCTCCCCATTCCAAGCTGTCCTCCCAACACATAGGCAAGTCCAAGACCCACAAGTGACGCACAGGGGACAAAGGACAAACAGAAGTGGGTGGGGGAGGCCGGGGGTTGAGGTCTCCACACTCTGAACCCCTCCCAACTCCCTCAACCTTTTCCTCCAGCTCCCAGGCTTCCCCCTGCCTAGCCCTGCTTTCCACACCCTTTATCCCTCAGGAAAGCAGGCCCTGCCGGGTATCCACATTAGCCATGTTCCAGATAAGGAATACAGAGTTGCCTGTCTGCCCTCTCCCCCAGAAATCACCCCACTGAGAGACTGAAGCCCTACAACCCGTGGAATGGCAACCCCTAAACATGGCCCAAGCTAGGTCTTCACTCACACCACTATAGAGCTCCTGGAAGGACCGACTGGGCCAAAAGGAGACAAGACTGGGACTCCTGGGACTCAGCCAGGTTCATGAAAACCCTCCTCCCTCCACACAACTGTTCACCAGGCCACACTTACCTGATGCCCAACCACAGGAGGAAAGGAGAGACTGAGCCACATTTCAATGCTACCCACCTCAGTACCAACACACATAGTACACGCATGCACACACACACAGAACCATTCCAACAACAGCAACATATGGACATTCCACCCACCAACACACACGTGGGTGTTGGGGGACAGCCACCCTGACACATACAGCATACTCTTCCAGGCTGTGGCCCAGGCATGTTCAACTGGGGTTCCTGGCCCCAGAGGATCCAGCCTCTCTCATTAAACCACAACAGCTCCCATAGGCACTTAAGCCATTGGCTTACAAGCCCCTTCCCCACATCACCAAAGTCTCAACACTCCTCTCTGGTAGGCATTATTGTGGTCCCCACTTCAGAGATGGCTGCCAAACTACACAAGCTCAATCAAGTCCAAAGCTGTAGGAAGTAGCAGAGGCCTGACGAGACAGACCCCAGTATCTACTACATTTGCACTGTCATACCTCCCCGGACAGATGATATCGGGTATTGAGCAGAGTAAACACTGAGCACACGGCTTTACTTTCTGGTACCCCATCCTCCAACGCTCAGGGTCTGAGTCACCACCTCTGACCTTCCAGGTATCCTTTATCCCTTTCACCACAGCTAACCATCCTTTGTGAGGCTCCCCAAGTGAGGTCCAGACACACAGCGATGACTCTGAAGACACTGCTTTGTATCTATATATGTGTGTCTGCACATAAGGCATATAGCTTTATTTACCTATTTTGTGTCTTGATATATGGCTCAGGCTGGCCTTGCTCTCCGATACTCCTGCTTCAGTTGGAGGCTTACAGGAGTGTTTTATACTTTATTGGTTACACCTTTATTTTCATAAGGATTAGAACAAATCTAAGGGAGGGGGCCTAATCGATGGTTTTACAGACCTTGTTCCTTGGGTGGTAATGAGATACTTTTCCTCTTAAATGTATACAGTCAAGTTCAAAGTGAAGTGTGTTAACAGAAGCAATACTAAGCTGGTACAATGCAAACAGTTCCCTGATAACAAAAGAAACTGGGAAGAGCCCGGCTGAGCGAATAAGGCTAGGGACACAGGGGCCATCTTCCTGACAGTTTCAGACCCTGTGTCAAGTCAGGGCGGCCAGTGGCTAAGGCAGAGAAGGATGGCCTGGGTAATACGGGGGAGCAGGCTGAGTAAGTGTGGGGTCAGTTCCTGTGGAAGACAGGAGAGAAGGAGGCCTCCATGGCTAAGGGCACTGGGCACTCTGGAGCCCCCCTCTGTCTGTCCCATGTGTATGTTTTACCTGGCCTTGTTGCTAGGCCTAACTCTAGGCCCAACCACCTCTCTTCCTGCTAGCCTCCCCTGTCCCAGAGAGCTCTGGACACACATGGACTCCCCTCCTGGCCCCCAGAAGACCTCCTCCTCCACCCCTGCCCCACACACCAGCCCTCCTTCCCCACTCCCAGGAAGACATCAACATTTCTGGCGTGGGGGAGATAGTGTACTAGCCCAAGGCAGGCGATGACCGTGGGAAACCCTAGGAGCTACGGAATTATGGAATTATCCCAGGATGGTGCCGGCAGGGAGGTGGAGGGGGTTGAATCTGAAAGGCTGTAGGATCAGTTTAACAACTTTGGAGAGTGAAGTGACCCAGGAGTTCTGATGTCCTGCTGGGTGTGTTTGGAATACCTTCCTACAGGGCCTGGTGGAGCTCGGAGGACCAACCTGGACTGAAGAGGGAGTGGGCTCAAAAAAAAATCAAAGGACATTCATTTATATTCATTCATTTTCTTTCTCTATTTCTATCTCCACCGCCCCCAACAGGGTTCCACATAACTGAAGCTGGTCTCAAACTCCCTATGTAGCAAAGGATAGCCTCAATCCTGTCCCCTTCACTTCTGAGTGCTGGAATTACAAGAATGAGCCACCATGCCTGTTTCAAGCCCAGGGCTTCATGAATGCTAGGCAAACACTCTACCACTTAAGCTACATCCCAGCGCCTTGATCTGTTAGAGCCAGGGCACCTGAAGTTAGACCGTGGCCATGTCGCCTTCACTTGGGTTGACACACTTCTCCCCCAGGGTTCCCAGTCCTTCATACATTCAGCCAAGCAGGCCCTCCCTTGATGAGTCAGGGGTCTAATCTGTAAAATGTGTGTGTGGGGGGTGTTAACCTCAAAACCCTGCCCCACAGGGGAGAGACTGTGACAATGACAGAGAAAGTGCACCAGTTCCAGTGAGAGACATTCCTGGCTGGGGAGTGTTGATCCCCATTCCTCTGAGCCAACCCCAGCTACCTGCACAGTCTTCAAGCTGCCCTGATTCTCTCTGGACTGTGCAGTTTAAGGGGAAAAGCCAGGGTGATCAATGGGTCCAGGGAGCTGGCAGCAGGCCCAGTGACCAAATCAATGGTGCTAAGGGATGTAGAAAGCTATGGAGGCAGGGAATTCAGCAACTGGGGAAGAAGGGCTGGGTGTGCTGGGGGAGGGGAGGGGTGTGGCATTAGGAAAGCCAGAGACCTAAAGAAGGGGCTGCAGGGTCTCCCCTCTCTCTGAGGACCCTCTATGTACCTTCTCCTTTTGACTCTTTTGAGACACATTCTCCACATGTATCCTGAAATTCACTGTGTAGCCCAGGCTGGCCTCGAACTCAAAAAGCCTTGCCTCTGCCACTTGCCCAAGTACTGGATTACAGGCATGAATGCTGCACTGAGATTCAAGACGCTTGAAGTCCAGGCAACTGGGGAGATGCCAGGGGCCGACAACATGGAGCAACATGGGGAGTGGAGAAGCAGAGGAGGGGCTTTGTCAGCCCAGGTCAGCCTGAGCACTAGGGAAGAGGAAGGCCGTCCCGCTGGGGTGATGGGAAGGAGTGGGCGCCCCCACCCCCAATGCCTGGCTGTGATGAGGAACAGGTGCTTCACAGAAACATTGTTACTTGTTCAGCGGCTTCCAAGCCCCTCCCCCACTTTATTTATGGGCTTGATTTATTTTTACCCTCCACTGAATTCTTTTACATGAGATCACTGTAGCTCATTAGAAGAACGAAGATCCCAGCAGCTCATAAGTCACCGCTCACATCCCCACCTGGCTTCTTTACCCTGGGTGTCACTATCTGCTCTGTCCCCTGCCTGTCGCTGGGCTGTGCTGGAACATGACATCATCTTCTGAAGAGAAGGGGGTGGGGGTGGGCAGAGGAGAGAGAAACCGAGGGGAGATCAGGGCTGCAGTGACAGAAAGTGACAGGAAAGGACCCTCAGAACCTCTAAGACAGCGGGCTCCTTCTGCATGGACACCAGGAGGCTAGGCAAGATTGCTCTCTTGGAAGAGGGGCTGCCACAGGTGTTCCGAGCCATGGTCTGGTCAGAGGCAGGGGCCTGAAGGAAGGGGGGCCTGAAGGAAGGGGCCGTAGCAGAAAGGGGAGGGCTAGGCACTCTCAGTGTGACAGAAACTCTTGTCCCCACCAATGGGGGAAGGGGGAGAGGGCGACAGAGATTTCAACAAAGGGAGAGGGAATGCTTCAGACCCCACAGCACACACGCATGCAGGCAGAGCTCCCAGTGTCCCCTCCACAGCCAGCACGAGAATCGCCCCAGTCGCCCAGGAGCAGCCCTGAGGCGCTGCCACCGTCAATGCTGCATGATGGCTTCATCCAGTTGGCACCTGCTTCCGTCTGAAAGCACAAGGAGCTTGGAGACTAGGGGCCAGAGGTCAAAGGTCAGAGGCCCAGCTCTGCCTCTTAAATGCCAAGGCTCTTGGAGCCAGGCCCGCCCCTTTTTGCCCAGGGGAGGCCTGCTTTGGCCTGTGGGTGCCCTGCCCTCACCCGGCTTGTCTGTCCGTGGGTGCTTGGTGCA